GAAAAGGGAGATTTGTCGTCCGTCGATGCTTATGACCAATTTCTGGTCAAATGGTCTTGGGTCCTCTGCTGTTAGACTGGATAAATAACCGGGATCAATACCCTTTACGTGTTTTCTCGCTCCGTCCATCATGTTGAATTAGTGTTTCTTGCCGCCGACCAAAATAATTCCCAGCATACAACACGTGCTTTTGTCAAGAATGAAACTCACCTATAGACAGCTTTCATCCTTTATTGAGAATGTAGACCACTGTTATGTTTTATATCACAACATTTCAGTAAATATTACTGAGGGGGCTAAGTGTCTTGCCCAAGGACACGACAGCATTCACTTGTGGGAGGTGGAATTGCACCACCGACCTGTGGGTCAATGGATCTGACGCTCAACCAATGATGTTTATGTCGAAAGCGGGATTCAAACCGCCAACCTTCAGATCAATGGACGAACACTTTGACCAACTGAACTACTGTCTCAAAAATGCAAGAGCCACTCTTTTTCAGATGTCAGGGACCTGAGGCTCCGCCCCCTAAAGTGCTGCTGCTCATGGTCTATTAGAGACATTCCCAAACTCTAGTCCGGAGACAATCAAACAGAACAAATCCAGTTCTAGCACCTGTAGAGGAAATGGAATGGGACGTAATCAGTGGAAACCTAGAACCTAAACTGATGCACTAAAACTAGTGTGTACCTCTCTGTGTGGGTTTAGACAGTGCCGAGTTTTTTTTGTAATGAATTGGTGAACTTGGGGACGTGTTATTTTCAGAAACGTGACCTCATTTCTTTGTATTTTTGCAGTGGAGGAAGCAGGGCAGACGTGCTGACCAGTGATGAATTGCTTTCCTTTTGAGTGCATTTAAACAAATAATTCTTCCCATGTAAATCGTGCGTTCTGTTTTGAATAAAATCTATGGGACACGGAGAACAAGGCGTCTCTTCTTAACTGACACATAAGCCCCGCCCCCTGCCTATTCAAAATGTCCGCCTTCCTCCCTCCTCAGACGGCGCCGTGACCTGAGGCATCCCGAAACACACAGTTCACGTCTGGGTTTACGTCACCATCTCAAAGTCAAACGGACGTCTCCTGAATGATTCAAATGATTTTCAGTCTCACGCAAAAAAGCTCCACAGGAAAAATCACAAACACAACAGGAACTCAACAAAAGGATGTGAGGAGTTCTGACTTATCTAAAGATGCACTCTGTAACTTTTCTAGTAGAGGGTGCGTCCTTGCTTCTCGTCTCCGTGGAGATGTGATTGCGTTGTCTGGAATGTTCCACAGTGTTGCATGAGACGAATCTGTCTCCATGGGAACGAGCAAGAAACACGAGTTACAGGATCTACAGATCTACCAGGACTAAACCAGGACTAAACCAGGACTAAACTACACTAACTACCAAGGACTAAAACCAGGACTAAACTAGGACTAAACCAGGACTAGGAAAGGACTACACTAGGACTAAACCAGGACTAACTACTAAACAGGACTAAACCAGGACTAAACCAGGACCTAGGACTACACTAGGACTAAACCAGGACTAAACCAGGATCAAACCAGAACTAAACAGGACTAAACCAGGACTAAACAAAGACTAAACCAGGATTAAACCAGGACTAAACTAGGATTAAACCAGGACTGTAAATCAGGACTAAAACCAGGACTAAACAAGAACTAATCCAAGATTGTAATCCAGAATTAAACCAGGACTAAACCAGGACTAAATCAGGACTAAACCAGGACTATAATCCAGGACTAAATGAGGTCAAATCCAGGACTAAATATTTCTTTTTTGCAGTGTCTGAACTGAAGTGGCCTCTCGTCTTTTGGCAGAGAAAACCACTGCAGTCCTGGGTTTCCACGGCGACCGTAAACATCGTAAAATGGATGATTTACGAAGACGAGCCGTTTACGTCGCAGTTACAAGAAGCACCAGGCGGCCATCTTTGTGTGGGCTCCTTCTAAATGTCCAAGTTCACGTGCGACGTTTGATTAGTTAGAAGAGTCGTAAATAACTCAAGAAGGACAGAGTCAGGACTAAACCAGGACTAAACCAGGACTAAACAGGACTAAACCAGGACTAAACCAGGACTAAACTAAACCAGGACTAAACCAGGACTAAAACCAGGACTAAACCAGGACTAAACCAGGACTAAACCAGGACTATAAACCAGGACTAAACCAGGACTAAACCAGGACTAAACCAGGACTAAACAGGACTATAAACCAGGACTAAACAGGACTAAACAGGACTAAACCAGGACTATAAACCAGGACTAAACCAGGACTAAACAGGACTAAAACCAGGACTAAACCAGGACTAAACAGGACTAAACCAGGACTATAAACCAGGACTAAACCAGGACTAAACCAGGACTATAAACCAGGACTAAACCAGGACTAAAACCAGGACTAACCAGGACTAAACCAGGACTGTAAACAGGACTATAAACCAGGACTAAAACAGGACTAAACAGGACTAAACCAGGACTAAACCAGGACTAAATAAACCAGGACTAAACCAAGGACTAAACCAGGACTAAACCAGGACTAAACCAGGACTAAAAACTAAACAGGACTAAACCAGGACTAAACAGGACTAAACCAGGACAGGACTAAACCAGGACTAAAACCAGGACTAAACAGGACTAAACAGGACTAAACCAGGACTAAACCAGGACTAAACAGGACTAAAAACCAGGACTAAACAGGACTAAACAGGACTAAAACCAGGACTAAACCAGGACTAAACCAGGACTAAAACCAGGACTAAACCAGGACTAAACCAGACTAAACCAGGACTAAACAGGACTAAACAGGACTAAACCAGGACTAAACCAGGACTAAACCAGGACTAAACCAGGACTAAACCAGGACTAAACCAGGACTAAACCAGGACTAAACAGGACTAAACCAGGACTATAAACCAGGACTGTAAATCAGGACTAAACCAGGACTAAAACAGGACTAAACCAGGTCTAAACCAGGATTAAACCAGGACTAAACCAGGTCTAAACCAAGACTAAACCAGGACTAAATCGGGTCTAATCCAGATCTAAACCAGGTCTAAACCAGGACTTAAACCAGGGCTGAACCAAGTCTAAACTAGGACTAAATCAGAACTGAACCAGGACTAAACCAGGACTAAACCAGGACTGAACCAGGACTATCTGATCTCACAATGTGAAAACAAAGTCCAACCTGATCTGGGTTAAACTGGGTCTAAATTAGACTCAAATCAGGACTCAAACCAAGGCCAAGCTGGAACTGCACATGTCTACACCACAGTGGAGCAAGTTGTGTTCAGACGCACAGTGTTTCCCTCTGAGTGTGTGTGTTTTTTTCCTTTACCAAGGTTTGTCTCTTTGCGCTTGTTGGTGACACCATCTTTGTTTTGGGACGGTCTAGTGCTTCACGTTTGGCTTCCTCCCAAAACACAACGCTGCTCTGTGATTGGTCACTCACTCCGACTCAGTGGAAGTGAAAATGCAACAACTGCACAAGTGTGAACTCAAAACCAGATCCCAAAACCAGAACTAAATCAGGACTGAACCAGGACTGAATGAGGTCTAAACCAGGACTAAACCAGACTGACACAGGAAAAAAACAGGACTGAACCTGCATAAACCAAGTCTACACCAGGTCTAAACTAGGACTAAACCAGGACTGCACTAGAACTAAACCAGGACTAAAAGAGGACTAAACCAGGACTAAAAGAAGACTAAACCAGGACTAAAACAGGACTAAACCAGGACTAAAACAGGACTAAACCAGGACTAAAAGAGGATTAAACCAGGACTGAACCTTGACTGATCCAGGGCTAAATCAGGTCTAAACCAGGACTAAAAGAGGACTAAACCAGGACTGCACTAGGACTAAACCAGAACTAAACCAGGACTGAAGGAGGACTAAACCAGGACTAAAAGAGGACTAAACCAGGACTGCACTAGGACTGAACCAGGACTAAAACAGGACTAAACCAGAACTGAACCTTGACTGATCCAGGGCTAAATCAGGTCTAAACCAGGACTAAAAGAGGACTAAACCAGGACTGCACTAGGACTAAACCAGAACTATACCAGGACTAAACCAGGACTGAAAGAGGACTAAACCAGGACTGCACTAGAACTAAACCAGGACTAAGCCAGGACTGAAGGAGGACTAAAAGAGGACTAAACCAGGACTGCACTAGGACTAAACCAGAACTAAACCAGGACTAAAAGAGGACTGAACCAGGACTAAAACAGGACTAAACCAGGACTGAACCTTGACTGATCCAGGGCTAAATCAGGTCTAAACCAGGTCTAAACCAGGACTAAAAGAGGACTAAACCAGGACTGCACTAGGACTAAACCAGAACTAAACCAGGACTGAAAGAGGACTAAACCAGGACTGAAGGAGGACTAAACCAGGACTGAAGGAGGACTAAACCAGGGCTGCACTAGAACTAAACCAGGACTAAGCCAGGACTGAAGGAGGACTAAAAGAGGACTAAACCAGAACTAAAAGAGGACTAAACCAGGACTGCACTAGAACTAAACCAGGACTAAAAGAGGACTGAACCAGGACTAAAAGAGGATTAAACCAGGACTGAACCTTGACTGATCCAGGGCTAAACCAGGTCTAAACCAGGACTAAACCAGGACTAAAAGAGGACTAAACCAGGACTAAAAGAGGACTAAACCAGGACTGCACTAGGACTAAACCAGGACTAAACCAGAACTAAACCAGGACTGAAAGAGGACTAAACCAGGACTAAACCAGAACTAAACCAGGACTGAAGGAGAACTAAACCAGGACTAAAAGAGGACTAAACTAGGTCTGAACCTTGACTGATCCAGGGCTAAATCAGGTCTAAACCAGGTCTAACCTAGAACTAAACCAGGACTAAACCAGGACTGGACTAGGACTAAACCAAACCCTGATGAGCAGATCGCTGCACACACACACATTCCTGTGTATCTAAATCTCGTGGTCACTTTGCAGACTGAAGTTAAGTCCGTACCATGACTGTCCCACAGTCTGACAGGTTTGTCCTGATGCTGAAGACATAATCCTCCCCGACCTCCACCCCGCGGCATTCTGGGTCATTCAGATGCAGATCCCAAACCTAAAATAAACACAACACAGTCACATAAGAGAACACAATCCTACACACACCAAACACCGTCATGAGCTGCAGGCGGCGCTGTGTGAGGGAAGAACACAGCAACAGAGAAATCAAAACACTCACGTAGACGGGAGGGACTTTAGTGAGGAAGAAGGCGCTGGGGATGACGACCTCCATGTGGTCGTTTGTGCAGATGACGGTTTCATTCAACTCTTCAACAAAACAAACAACAGGATGACATGAAATCTGAGTTATAAACAGTGTGACTTTTGCTACAAGCACCACTAAGGGTTTGCAAAAATATTAATATATCGTATCGTTTAATGTGATGATACAGTATCGATATTGTTGGCTTTTGTATCGATATATCGCCAAGACTATTTTTTGGTATATTTTACTAAATCACTTTATTACAGCTGCAGTTTTGTTGTTGTTCAGAGGAAGGAAACTCATTTATGCGACACATTTGACATTTTCACAGTTTTGATGATTTAAATATTTGTGTTTCATATGAACTTTGCACAAGAAGTGGTTTAACAAAGACTTTTAGTCTCACAGACATGATTTAGACTTTCTAATAAACTGTATTGAATCAATTTGAAATAAATCATATTGAATTGTATCAATTCAAATCAAAATCTAAAAATGTGTGGCCATACCGTCTTGTAAAAGTCTGATCCCGTCAGATCTCAGAAGCTAAGCAAGACTAGGCCTTGTCAGTATTTGGATGGAGACACTGGGAAAATCAGGAGCCACAGTGAGCCACAGTGAGCCACAGTGAGCCACAGTGAGCCAGAGGGAATAACTGCCATTGTGCCCTTAGGCAAGACACTTCACCCACATTCCCTAGTATGAAAATGGTGTGTGTGTGAGTGATGGTGGTGGTCGGAGGAACCGATAGCGCCAATTGGCATGGCAGCTGCGCTTCTGTCAATTTGCCCCAGGGCAGCTGTAGCTACGACCATCACCAGGTATAGAGTGAATGAATAATGCTCTGTCAAGCGTCTTTGTGACAAAAATGTCACAGGACCCCCTTGAAAACGAGATGGTGACACATCTCAAGGGGCTTATCCTCCAAACAAATAAATTCAAATGTCTGTGAAAAGCACTATAGAAATAAAGACTTAAATCAAAAGCTCACTGTATTGAGATATGTATCGTATCGTGACCTGTGTATTGAGATATGTATCGTATCGTGACCTGTGTATTGAGATATGTATCGTATCGTGGCCTGTGTATTGAGATATGTATCGTATCGTGGCCTGTGTATTGAGATATGTATCGTATCGTGACCTGTGTATTGAGATATGTATCGTATCGTGACCTGTGTATTGAGATATGTATCGTATCGTGGCCTGTGTATTGAGATATGTATCGTATCGTGACCTGTGTATTGAGATATGTATCGTATCGTGACCTGTGTATTGAGATATGTATCGTATCGTGACCTGTGTATTGAGATATGTATCGTATCAGAACTTCTGAATGATTTCCAGCCCTAATCACCACCAGTGACAAATATGAGGAAAGTGGATCGTTGCTTTTCTTACAATATTAGCAATTCATTATTACAATTTCTGTTAAAGTAAAAAAAAATATCTTTAATTGTTCAGTTTTGAGTCAATGGAAGTAGAATCTTAACACAAAATAACACAAATATATATATCATGTTTATTTAGTGTAGTAGTAAAGTACATTGAACACACTCTTAAACATATTTACTATTATAAGTTTATTAAAGTGTTTGTCTTTCGTGTGTCAGGTGCAGCCCTCACTGTCCACTCCTCCACTCATTATTTATGTCATATAGTGATCTGTGCACATGTCTCTGTACCTGTCTGTGTAAAACCCAGTGACACAGGAACCTCCTTGTGTGCTCGCTCTGTTTCTCTTCTACCTCATCTACAGGCTTTATTCACACTGAAACTGGAAGGCGTTTGGAAACATGTGGATGACGACTTCCTTTAGGCTCTGTTGGCGATAGAAACTCTGACAAAATCTGGGAAAACTGAGAAAATGAATCTGTGTATCCTTCGTTCATTCATATTTCAAAATAAAAACAGTCCTGGGATCAGTTCTGGTTCAGTCAAGTCATGGTTCAGTCAAAGTTCATGGAGACAAATAATGAAGAAAATAGTTTTTTGTTTTTTTTTCTTATTTTTTGATTTTATTTTGAAAAACGAATGATACATGGATTCAACTGGCCCAGTTTTCTTCAGGTTGATGTCTTTGTATTCTTTCTTTTTTACTTTTATAAATTGCGTATTCATTTGTTATTATAATTTGTCTAACTCCTCATGGAGAAGTTTGTCAGGTTGTGAAGACGCTGCTGCTCAATCCACAGTTTTATCACATGTCCAGTGTTGGGAATTACACTGGAAGTCCTCATCTGTATGTTTCCAAATGAGTTCCTGTAAATGTGAATAAAGCCTATTGTTTGACTCAAGACCTCTATTCCTGTGTCTTTTATTTATTTTTACTTATTTATTGCTGTTTTATGATTTTTATGGTTTTGCTTTTATTTGTTTTTTTCCTGGTTTGATTGTTTCAGCACTGGTATGATCAAATGTAAGCAGTTTACCTTTTGTTGTCTTCATTTATTGATTTCTGTGCAGCACTTTGGAAACTGCTTTGTTTGTAAAATGTGCTATAGAAATAAAGTGGAGTTGGATTTCGACAACATGAGTGTGACGTTCTGCCTTTTGTTTACATGTTTTTCTCCAGTATAGCTCCATTTCCCCGTCTGTTCCAGTTCTTCTTTTGTAGTTTATATAAACTCCCTTCGTCCATTCAGTTCTAGGTTGTTGAGTGGTCAAGAGAGACATTCAAGTTCTGTATGTGAAACTCTGAGTGTGAAATCTGTTGTTTGCAGTTTGTGCAATTCTTCATTACATATTCCCTGTTTAAAGAATCTGTTTCTGAGTTTATTCTCAGCCCGTTTTCTAATTGGAGAATTTCTCAGTTTTGGAGGATGTTTTAGTTCACATAAATAAATCAGATATTTCTTTGTTGTGTTCCCTTTAGAAGAACACTTTCTGTTGAACTGAATCAGACTTTTGTGTTTGTCTGTGTTCTTTGTGCTGCCTGTGTGATCATGAGTAAGTCAATCTTTATCTACATTGTGCTTTTCACACACACAGACACTTTACAGATCATTATTCAGCTTTATTCATTCACTCTAGACCCAGTGGTGGTAAACTACTATTGTAGCCACAGCTGCCCTGGGGCAGACTGATGGAAGCCCTCAGTCCCTCCGACCACCACCATCACTCACACACACACCTCTTTCATACTAGGCAATGTGGGTGAAGTGTCTTGCCTAAGGACACAACAACAGGTTGTTTTTTTTTCCACTGGCGCCTCCCTGTGGCACCTTATGTTCCCAGTGTCTCCCATCCAAATACTAAACAGGCCCAACCCTGTTGAGCTTCTGAGATTTAAAGGGATCAGGCTTCGACAAACTGGTCTGGACACGAGTGTGATGGAAAAGAGTAAAAATCAACAGTTGAACTATTCAGTACGTTACAATACAGTGTGACAGAGCTTTGGCCATTTCAAAATCTCTAAAAACAAAGAGTTTAGGAGTTGTTTAATGATGATGTTGTACTATTAAACATTGTGTAATATTTGACCCAAGCAGTGTCATTGTACACATTATGAATCTGGTCATTTATGACATTTAAAAGAGTTTGTTTTTTAAAGCACGTTACATCACGAATCTCACCCTAATGTCCCCCCCGTGTGCTCTGAGGTCTGAGGTCCAGCTCCCCCTCATGGTGCCCAAGACGAGACTTAAACCCACCCTCTGCCCCCCCACGTCCCCCACGTCCCCCACGTCCCCAAGCCCCCGCAGTGGAGAGTTTTAAGTCTCGTCTTAAAACCCACTTTTACTCTGTGGCTTTTAACACTGTGTGAGTTGTGTGTTCCTCTGTTAAATGGAGCTTTAGTTTCTCTTTCTGTTGGATATGTTTTATCTGTATTGTACAGAACTTTGGAAAGTATTTTGGTTGTGAAATGTGCTACAGAAATCAAATGGGTTGGATGAGTAAAATGTGACATTATCAGAGACTGAAATAAACAAAATCTGCAGTTCTTCTAAACAAGTGATTTTTTTTACAACTTTAGACCCATTTTCAAATCTATACTTTGTAAAAACACACAAAAATATGTCCTCTGGAATCATAAACACATATTTTTAAGTCTGGCATGGAAAGACTTGAAATCAGAATATTGAATAGTTTTTACTCAATTCGATTAAATTGCAAATACAGCTCACATTTTGTATTTTGGGTCAACATAACATCATGTTTTTGACTAATTTCAACATAATGAAGCTTTAAATTAAAAAAGGGATAATTGTCTTACATTAATATCTGATAGTTTAGTTTTAAATGAGAAGCAGCACACTGGAAGTCAAATGCCAAGGAAATAAGACACTACTGTGCACCATAATCATTTTTTAATCATTTCATATGAAGTTTTTGCAGTGAACAGAACAAAAATGAAAATAACTACACTTTAATTAGTCTTAATAAACCATGAACAAAGACTTAATTATAATGAACTTTTATTGAGTTTATTAAGAATGATTTGGGCTTAGTGACTACTTAAAAGAAGGACTAAGGTCTGTCTGGAATGTTTCACAGTGTGGCATTTAACCTTTCTATCTTCATGGAGACCAAACCACACAAGTTACAGGTCAGATCTGTGGACAGGTCACACCACTCACAGTCAAAATGTCTGTTTTTCCAGGTATTTTTGACACATAAAACCACTTGTATTTGAATAAATGTAAAGTAGAACTGTTTAATGTCACACTGTGGAACATTCCAGGCAAAGCAGTGACATCTCCATGGAGACAAGCAGGTAACAGACCCTCCACCAGAAAAATTACACAATGCACCTTTTAACTAAGCCTGAACCATTCTTAATACATTATTTATTCATTGTGAGTTAAGTCTTTGTTCATTTGTTTCATTAAGTCTCATTAAAGTGCAGTTATCAAACAGTTTTATTTACCCTCGTGCACGTCTTTAAAATAATCACACCTGTGCTCCTCCGTGACAAAAATGTACACGAAAAGAATACCACAGTATTTTTATGCAGTACGGATTTTTGTCATTTTTGTCAACATTTTTATATCAGTGTTTTCTTTTACTCCTGCTCTAATCATACACACCAAATAATATATCATATTTGGACATTTTAACGCCTTAAATGACATTTATGAAAAAAAAACATTTTTGATTGTTTTCATGTAATTGTAATTAGTTTGTGTTGGGATTATCAGAGGCTGGGGCTCCTCCAGAACAAACCCACATTATTTTAACCTCAAATATCCACATCTCTGTTCTTCAGTCTGGAGTCATGTACAATGTGTTTCTATTGATATAAACTTGTAATGAAGATACACAGGAAAAATAAAAATATATCAAAAAATTCAAAAAGACACTAAATCAAAAAAGGTTGAAGGATTTTCAACACCAAAGAATGAAAGATAAATCAAAAAGTGAAAATATTCTGTCAAAGTTATGCCCATTTTGAATGAAAGTCAACTGGACAAAAATGTTCCTGAAGAGCACAGGTGTGAGTATTATGATTATAAACCGTTCAATTCATGTGATGTTGAAAAAAAAGAACACAGAAATAAAAAAATACATCACAAAATACACAAACAGGCCAATTTTGGTGTTATTTGGTGCAATATCACCAAAGTTATGCAAAAAAGAAAAATGTAAATGTACCTTGGCAAAAATCTCACAAATATGAACATTTTTTGTCTTACCTTCGTGCTCTGCGTCCAAATACACAGTAGCAGACGACATCTGTTAAACTCAACAGTATCCAGGCTCCAATCACCAAAACTCCCATTTTTAAATTCTCAAAAATCTTCACCAAATTTGCAAAAAAAAAAATCCTTCTTTTTCTTCCTGATTTGTTTATTTTCCTTCTAATTTTGCGTGTCTGTGCCAAAGCGTTGGCTCCTCTCTGCTCCAGACCCGCAGAGATAAATGTGGGCCCTCCTCTGGTTTGACCGGCGTGTGAATGATGCTCAGAGCCACAAAGAGATTCCACACATGAGTCGAGAGGAGAGAGGGAGTCCCGGGGAACGCCACAAGCACCGCCCCAACTCACCATATACACCCAGTCACTAACACTCTGGTCTTTACTCCACCGCACTGTAAAAAGAAAACACACGTGGATCACACATGTCTACAGGTTTAGGACTGCTGAAAGATTTGGACTGTTGCTGTAGCGATTAACAATTCAAACTAAGTATTACATCATTTGAATGGGGAAAAAATCAGTCCAGTGAGGTTCATTTGGTCTTCCGATAATTGATGTTATTAGGTTCTTTTTTTTCAGATGAAGGGTTTGTTTTCATCCCTGACAGTTTGTTCTGTTCCCTGTTCTTCCTCACAGTTACGTGGTGTTGCTGTGACGTGTCGCTCAGTTGATTTAAACAGGTTTTGTCACTGTCTTTGTATAAGATGTTACATTTATGCTTCAGTTCTGTTTTCTCTTTAAGTATTTGCCTGAGTTTTGTGTTTGGTTTCACTGCTCTGTTCATATTGTGTTTCTCATGTCCCTCTGCACTTCTTCTCTTATGCCCCTGATGTACAGTGATGTTACCATGTCTGCACTCTTCTTTTCAGTTTTATTTGTGTTTTTCTGGTTTAGTTTGTCTTTCTCTCTGACATGTTATTTTCTTTTGTTTATTGCCTGTTTTGTGTCCAGAGTGTTGTGGATGTGTGTGTCTTCCTCCTGCTTGTCTTGTTCGTCGTAAGAACATTATTTGACAGAACCAACATTATAACAGATGAAGAGTTTGTGACTGTGAGATGTTCCGATGTCCATATGAGGTATTGGGCTACGTTTCCACATAGCCGAGTGTGTTTAGAAATGAAAATTTCATTACAGTTGTAAGGTTTAATCACAAATCCATTTAAAATCGGGCATTAGTGAGTGGCTCGCCTCTCCACAGATCTGATAAAGCCTCATTTGTCTCTGGTCATGGATATGATCCATCAGCTGTGTGCAAATGAAACACATGAAAAGTGTTTCAGCAGAAGAAATGTGACTGATGCTCTGATGCTTCATCATCATCATCATCATCATCATCATCATGTGGCACGGTGGCTGAGTGGCTAGCACTCATGCCTCACAGCAAGAAGGTTCCTGATTCGATCCCCGGGTCGCCCAGGCCTTTCTGTGTGGAGTTTGCATGTTTCTCCCCGTGTCTGGATGGGTTTCCTCCGGATGCTCCGGTTTCCCTCATCAACCCAAAACATGCTCCATATGTCTCCAGAACAGCTGAGAGTCAAGGTCAGTTAAAAACAATCAATCAATGAACCTGCCCTGGGACGACAGGGGGAAATGAGCACTGATGCTACAACCTCATGTACAAACATCTCTCCTGTTAAAGTTCATGCAAAAATTGTGCGCTGTCCCTGTCTCAAATAAATAAATAAATAAATACATCATCATCAGAGCGAAAGGGAAACACTGGTCACACTTTTGTCACGTCAGCTCCTAAAACTCTGTTTATCACTTTACACCGAACGTCAAACCAGAGTTTTACACAATCTCCACTCTAGTCTGAGTTTTTAGAAAGATTCATTTTCAGAGGCAGATTTACCGTTTGTGTGTAAAAGATGGGAACAAACAAAGGGAAATGTTTCTGTTTTTAAAAATACTTGTGCGTCCCTGTGTGTGATGTTCATGTCCAGGAAATGAACAGCTTCTTCTTCTTCTTGTGTGAGTTGGATGTTTCCTGCTCTGTCTGTTGTGTTTCGATGCTCTGGAGGAAAAATCCTCAAAATGCAGCATAAAACAGGAAGATTAAACTTGTGAATATTGTTTTAGCAGTTTCAGTGTATGTATTATGAGTTTAAATATCATTTTTCTGTTGGGGGGTTGCTACATGCTTGCAATGTTTCACAGTGTGGCATTACAGATTACACGTTTATCATGCATGAATTCAATCACAAGCTATTATTGTTAAAAACATGTGAGCAGGGACGCCACTCCACAGATCTGTCTGTGTTGCGTCTCTCCATAGAGAAAGATAAACAATAACATGAACAAGTTACAGAGTGCATCTTTAAGTTCAACGATCTGTGACGAGACAAAAGTACAGTTTATGCATTATTCTTTCACTTTGTTGTTCTGTCGTAGCCACAGTTGCCCTGGGGCAAACAGACAGAAGCAAAACTACCAATGTGTGTGCTCCATCTGCCCCTCCAACCACCAACTCACACCCAACGATTCAACTGTCTCCCCAATAAGAAGAGAACGAGCAATAATACAAATAAAAAAAATAAAAAATCTGAAATCTCCACCAACTGCCGAGCAATTCTACAAGTATTCTTCGAGTCATTTTGTGATTTTAAGTCATTCTAACTCACATAGAGACTTTTGTTTTTGCAGTGTCCAACAAGAGGTTTGGTTTCCATGTAAAATAACCAAAACACGGCTCTTTGTTTGTGACTCTTTTGTTCAAACATTTTAAAATCTTTACAAGAGCGGGAAACCCATTCACAAACACAATTCACGACAAGAAGCTTTCACCCACACAACTGTGTGTGGTACAAACTGAACCAGGACTAAACCAAGACTGAACCAGGTCTAAACCAGGACTAAACCAGGACTGAACCAGGACTGAACCAGGACTGAACCAGAACTAAACCAGGACTGAACCAGAACTAAACCAGGACTGAACCAGGACTGAAACAGGACTAACCAGAACTAAAACCAGGACTGAACCAGGACTAAACCAGGACTGAACCAGGACTAAACCAAGACTGAACCAGGTCTAAACCAGGAAACTGAACCAGGACTAAACAGGACTAAACCAGGACTAAACCAGGACTGAACCAGGACTAACAGGACTAAACCAGGACTGAACCAGGACTAACCAGGACTAAACCCGGACTGAATCAGGACTGAACCAGGACTAAACCAGGACTGAACCAGGACTAAACCAGGACTAAACCAGGACTAAACCAGGACTAAACCAAGCACCCAAGTGTTAAACCATAGCCGGACTAAAGCAGGTCTAATTCATCCAGTGCACATCACGGTGGTGTTCAGGAGTAAATCCTGTTTAAAGAGGAAGGACGAGTATTTCACTTGTATTAACTTTTAACACATTAAATATTTAGACCACCATTTTACCTTTTATTATTTTGAAAATGCTATAAAATGCTAAGTCACTCCCCCTTCAGAGCTCAGTCAGTGTGAATCCCACTAATGAAACTCCTGCACGTCACATCAGGTTTATCAATGTTTTTGTATATTTATGGAGAATTTTCATGTGGGGGCGGAGGCTTGTGGGCGGAGCCTTGGACAGAATCTTACAGTAAGGAGGGTTTGAATAGGACCCAGGAGAGATCGCTATATTATTCAAACATGCATGGATGACATTTAAAAGCTCTTCAGACAGTTTTTTGATGAGAGAAGAACGTTATAAAATGGTAAAAAGCTCCAAAAAGTTGATTTTGCACAATAGCAAGTCTGTAACTTTTATTCTAGGTGTAGTCTTCGTTCAGTCCTGGTTTAGTCTTGGTTTAGTCTTCGTTCAGTCCTGATGTAGTCCTGATGTAGTCCTGGTTTAGTCCTGGTTTAGGCCTGACTTAGGCCTAGTTTAGTCCTGGTTCAGTCTTGGTTTAGTTCTGTTTTAGTCCTGTTCTTCGTGATGTTTTACGGCTCTGAACTTCCTAAATCCATTGATCCAAACAACAGTTTTTACCACACAAGCCGCTCATTAGCAACACAAAACCGTCTGTCAAATGTCCCGTTTAAAACTCATAAAAAACACAAAATAAAAGCTGTTTTCTGCCTCGCTGCTCGACTTTGTAAGAATTTACTCCGGACAAATCGATGCAGATCCGTCTTCAGGACCTAAAAGTGAAATGCTCTTTGTAGATCTGAAGTTTCAAGTGTTTTACGATCTCTCTCTCTCTCTCTCTCTCTCACACACACACACGCACACACACACACACACACACACACACAGAGTTGTAGTTGTAATGCGTTCTATTGAGTACGTGGAGTAAAGTGCTTGTTAAAAAAGTCTAGACCAAATAAAACTTACAGTAATAATAATAATAATATCTATTGGTTTCTGTCTTTGTGCGTTGGACCTGGTTTGAATTTAAAGGTGCATTGTGTAACTTTTCTCTTGAATGACCTGCTGTTTGTTTGTATCCATGGAGATCGCTTTGCCTGAAATGTTCCACAGATAATACTTGTATCTAGGCTGCATTGTTTCATTTACGTGAGTTTCTATATTTAAAAAAATAATGTCTCCCTGATTTACAGTCTAATGCCATACTGTGGGACATTCCATGGAGACCTTCCGCTTGGTGTGATAATACCTGCTGTAAATATCAATAAAAGTTATACACAAATCAATTTGTGAGGAAAAGTTGAAAAATCTGTTGACGATGAGGAAGTGGAGAGTTCTATTTTAGAGAGTCCCACACTGACGTCAACACAACAGTTTGGCACAGTTTACATAAGAAACACATTTTTCTGATACTTTAAACATGATTTCAACAAAATGAAGGTGTTTTCTTCATTTTTTATTTGTCAAATTATAAATGATTATTATAAATGATAATATCAATTATAAATATAATGATTAGAAATGATAAATTAGAGGGTTTTGGCTTTGTGGTAGGTGCCTGGTAGGTGGAGTTAATATGATTGACTGAGATTCAGGAGCAGAACCTCAACCTCTCTGCCTCTTCTGCCAAACTGTTGTTGTGTCCTTAGGCAAGACACTTCACCCACATTATATTATTATATAGTATTAAAGTGGAGTGTGCGTGATGGTGGTGGTTGGAGGGGCCGATGGAGCAGATTGGCAGCATTGCTTCTGTCAGTCTGCCCCAGGGCAGCTGTGGCTACAATAGTCGTTTACCACTAAAGAGTGTGGAGTGAATGAACAATGCTCTGTAAAACTTCTGTGACATATGTCTGTGAATATATATATATATATATATATAAAAGTACTTACTTTACAAGGAGTGGGGTCTTGAATCAGCTGGGTGACCATTTTGGATTGGAGACAGAGGCTCCCCCCCGCGCCATCACATCCAACGTCAATAAACATCTTTACTGTATTTGTTGCGTCATGGTCTTTGCTTGTGAACTGGTAGTTATGGAATTCCCTATCATAATGTCATGATTTACAACCAGGAAGCAACATTTTAAACCTAAAATATGGTCAAAGTATGAACAGAATTATAACATCATCCAACCTGTCATGGGCACTTTAAAAAGACTGGAGTTTTGGACAGTAAACAGCAGCACTGGCACTTTCTCACTTACCATCCTGATTATTCACCACGATGAGTTTACAAGAGCTTTTCATTACTCTTAGAAGCTATCAAACTAATGTTAACAACAATTAGAAAGCTAACAGTGCACTTCCTGATGATCAGACAATACAATAAGTCGATGCAGACAGTACACTGCTGACTCACTTTGAGATGCTTTAATAAAACATGTACTGGGGCAAAAAAACATGAAAAGAAAGAGGAGGATGGGAGGGCATCTGACACACTGTGATGTTTCATATTATATAAAAAAAAACAGTATGTATTGGTTTACAGTTTGTAGAGTACAAAGAATACTTGGGTTACAGGTGATGGAAGGACCCTTTGATTATGTACTGAGGAAAGAAGAAACTGAGAAAATAAGGCTAAAAACAGTAGCTGCTAGGTTCAAATTTGCCTCATTGTGTAGTGAAGACTATTTGTGAAAGTAAATGGGCTGAAAACACAGAGGAGCACTTCTGAATGACCACCTGATGACATCATACAGTGGAATCAAGTGTTTTCAATTGCAGCAAAAGAGACAGTGGACATATTGTGAACTGCAATAGTTTCAAAACAGTTTCTTCTGGAAAATATAAAAAGGACGACAAACTGAGCACAAAATCCATGTTTAATTTATTAACACATGGCAACTTTATTACAATATTTTTTCTTAATATTTTAAAGTGAATTCATGTTTCGATCTTACACTTTTAACTTGGGTTAACAGTGGTTTAAAACAACATTTGATCTTTTAGAATCCATTATTTGAATTTCTAAAGACCCATAATGTTGTAAACTGTACTAAAAATTAAATATAAAAATGCTTACATATTTTCAAACATCTAAATTTACAATAAACATGTTCAGCAATCACATACAAGTGGTTTTTACATTTTCATTGAACTCATCATCAGCACAAGAGCCAGTACGAGGTGGGAGGGCATCTGACACACAAAACCTCTATTTTTATTTCATATCTAAAGGTGGAATGTTCTGCTTTACAGTTTGTGGAGAGAGATTTTCACCTGAACACTGCAAACTGAATTCTCTACTCGAGTTAGAATGACTTGAATTCAGAATATTATCCGAATATTACTTTGTAGTAGTATATTTTTGTATTTATTTGTGTATGTTTATGTATTTCCAGCTGATTTTTTCAAGCTTTAAACAAAATGATCACTTTGTACTTATTTTTTAGATTTACAAACCCTACAGCTTTATAAAAATAAGAAATAACACACAAATAAATATCAAAATCAGTCAAAATTGATCAAAATATTCATACTTTGAATTCAAGTCACTTTAAACCGGGACTATGTAACTTTTCTGATAAAGAGTCCTCCACCTGCTTGTCTCCATGGAGATGTTTCACAGTACAACATTAAACTTCAACCTTGCACTTTCAGTTCACTTTGCACTTTTCATGTTCAATTAAAAGTGTTTTTATTGCTTAAAATATCTTGAAAAATCTGCGTTCATACTGTGAGTGGTGTCGCCTTTCCACAGATCTGACCTGTTGGCACCGCCCGCTTGTTTCCATGGAGACAGAGAAGTTTCATGCCATACTCCAGCAGAAAAGTGACACAGTGCAGCTTCATCATGTGTAGTTGATATTTGTGTGGAGGTCGGTCCGTGTTAAAAGTCTGTTTCACTCCAGAGCTCCAGTGTCGTCTGTGAAGAGCTCGGCCAGATCAGCCACCGTCAGAACAGAAGCCTCTGAGTGCTTCATGGACGTGCTGCTGCTGTGGCTGCAAACACACACAAATATGTATGAATATACATGAGTCCAATGTTTATAGCAAGTATAATGTGTTTGAAATAAGCACAGATAAAAACAGGAGTCTTTTATTAGAATGAAATACCTTTTCTCAGCCGTCTTCATCATCGTCTGCATCCGCTCTTCTATTGTGGATTTGATCAAGAATCTGTGCACAAATGTGGGCCTGTGGAGAAGAAGAACATTTTACATTCATGGTAACTGTTGTTTAGTACAGATATTCCCAACCTTGTTTCCTTCAAGCCCCTTCCCCCCCACTTACACTGGATCAGTATAAACACACACGTTGTATCTTTAATGAGTCTGACCAGACAAAACTCTGGGGATTCTCAGGCACCTCCCCCAGGAACCACTGGTCTGATAGACAGTACGAAAAATTGAGTTCTGTTTTATTCAATATTTATATATTTCAATATTTACCTGGTCACTGAAGGGTTGACCAGGTTTTGTATTCACCCTGTGTGTGTCTGTCCACCCGCGATAATTCCAACATTTATGGACTGATTGTCACCAAATTTGGTACGTGGGTCAAGCCCCTGTGCCTGATGCCGCAAAAAAAGTTTGGTGATGATCCAAGGTCATCTGAGGTCACACGGGTCAATCGAAAGGTCACGCCATTATAAAGGATCGGCAATTTCTGCAATTTCTGAACCATCTGCGGCCTAAAATATTCACCCAATCATCACACAAGTTGGTACACACATAACTGGGGTATGGACTGGGCTCCTCATAAACTGCTTCCTTGGTGATGAACTGCCCCCACCGATGCTTCATGGGGGACCAGGTTGCTATCTCTGATTGTGCTTGTTTACTTTGTTTTGATCAGCCTGTTTTAATCATGAAATTCTTTTTTTCTGAAATCTTCTCTAGACACTTGCACCTGTTTGAGGGAAATACAGGCTCTCTTAATTTAACTTGAACTCTACAGTTTGTACTGATGCAGGGCACTGCTGTGTGGCTCAATGGTGACGCTCTACATGTCTTAAACATCTTTCTAACATCTTTCTAATAATAATATGTTGTCCAATCAAACATGTCCAGTCTCACGTGGTCTGTTCTGTCCAGTCCACTCTGCCTAAAGCCGACAGCTCTATGGTGGGTTGGTCAAATAGACTATAATATGAATAAATTCTTGGTCATATACACATATATTAAACACAGCCGCTCTCACTTGGTCATATAGATATATCTATATACATATAGATACACAGTATATTCTCTAGTCTCACTTGGTCTGTCCTATGCGGTGCACTCTGCCTATGGCCTGCAGCTCTATGGCCGGGTTGAGGATGGGTTCCACCAGTAACACGTGAGTGGCCTCGATGATGTTCAGACCGTTGGAGCCCGTGTGGAGAGGAAGCAGCAGGATGTTGATCTGAGAGTCGTGTTTGAACGAGCTCAGATTCTCCTGCAACAAAACAACAACTTCATTTAAATTCAACAGGAAAAACACACCCATATGAAAACCAGGTAAAAACAATTCTATCTTGAGTTTTGATGCCAGGAGGAGATTCCCTTGGCTGTTCCACTGTGGATGGATGAAGTTAAATGAGGCTAAAGCAATAACAACTGGCTGAAAATGTGAGATGGATATGTGGAACCTTTTTGAGCTCTGAAATTATAATAATAAGTCTGTTGAAGGTGAATGGACTTTAAAAACACAAAGAATCATTTCTTCTTTCACTGAATACAAACCTGAAACTTGTGAGTTCCATTAATCTGAGTAAACTCCATGTTATTATCGAACAGGGCTTTAGCGATGATGTCCAACACACTCTGCCACTGTGACGAGAACAAAGTAACAAAAAATAACTTCACAACACATTTCAAACATAAATCAGATTGTGTAGACGTTTATAACAGATTTTGTTGAAATAAAGAAACAACATTATAACATAGATCAAAAAATAGCCTACCGTATTTTCTGCACTATTAGACGCTCTGTCATTGAATGGTCTATTTTCAACCTTTTTTTTTTTTACAAATAAACCACACTGGACTTTAAATGAAACCCAACAGTGTGATGGGTGAGTGGTTTTGTTTGTTTGTTCGTTCACGGTGACTCTGGGTTTGTTCAGTTGTGGCGTGTAGGGAGGGTGCTGTCTGGGACCAACGGATTGTTGGCGTGTTCACAGTGACTCAGTTGTTCAATATCTGGGTTTCACGTGACGTCATAGGGCTACGTTTGTCAGCACGTGAAATCAGATGGAGGGCAGGAAGTGAACTGACTGGAGGAAGCGAGTGAAACACTGTTGCGTCTTTGTCTGGCAAATTGCTATGTGTTGTGTAGTTTACAGCTGTGCCAATCGTTCTAACCGAGAGAAGGAAAAGCGATTTTTTTAGAGTACCGAATACAGTCGTCCACAAAGGTCAGAAATGGGAAAAGCTGACAGAACAACACCGTAAAAAGTGGATTACAAATCTACGTCTGCGGTCGGGAGGAGCAGAATTCGCTAATGCTCGTGTCTGCAGTGAACATGTCAACAAAGGTTTGTTACAAAGCTAAATAGTTTTTTGTGGTTTACCTAAACATAAACGAATCATTAGCAACTAACAGCTGACGACGTTTGTTGACATTAAATAGTTCAGATAGAGGTCACTGCCGATACACTGCAGTTTTTTCATAAAGTCTATACACATAAAATAAGAGAAACACTCACTCCGGCGAAGACCAAATGATAATCATCATTTAGGCGTTTTGCACCGAGGTTGAGGACCCATCCACTGACAAAAAAAGTTCTATGCCTCCAAACTTTTGTACACCTTCATCTGTTGTCTGGTGTAGAACGATGTCTGGAGAACTAGCTAGTTTATGATATCCCCTCCTCGATTGTTGGCAAATCTTTTACTTCGGTTGAAAATTCACTCATTTTCATAAGATGGGGTCACGCCCAATATATTTGTCGACTAACTGCTCGTACTTTTGCCTCGCTACTGGCTCTAAATCCTGACAATAAGAACTCTTCTCTATATCTGTGTTCTCCAGAGCCGTGTTTGTTGTGTTTGTCTTCACTTCCTGCCCTCAACCTGAAATTCACGCATCATCGTGATCACGTGACTGAAACCCTCCTATTGTGTCTAGAAGTGGCACATTGCACTCGCTTTTTCAGTTCGTTCCTCTGTTCCGTTCCTCGTCGGTGTGGAGTGATGAGTGTGTCTGTGGGTGTGTTTCTCTGTGCGGTCGCTGTCTGCTCTGTGTGTGTTTGTGTGTTCTGTGGGTGGTGTGGCTTTGTAGTTTTCTGAAGTCGTGCTGTGACACCTGAGTGGATTTGTGTATAGGGCGCTCTGGATTGTGGGGCGCGCAGTCGTATTTTAACCAGCGTTGGAGGCTTCCGAGCGCGCCCTATAGTGCGGAAACTACGGTACTATAGGCCCTTTAAAGTTTAAGTGTAAAAAGGTATACCGTGGAGAAGACGAGACACTTGGCCCCTGCGTCTCTGATCTGGATCTTCTTCAGGGTTCGGATCACAGCCTCCACTTTGGTGGAGTGACTCCCCTTTAACACAGAGACACTGATCAATAATGGAAAAGCCTGAGTGGAGTAAGGATAGAGTTTCTGCTACAGTCATTTACACAGAGGACAAAATCACCACAGTAAGTAACAGAAACTCAAGAGGACAGGTATAGCACGCAGAGTTCGAGACTGACCGAGGTGGCCACTGGTTCTTGTATTCAGTAAATAAGACAATAAAGAGAACACTGGACATAACGACATAATAATTAGTGCTGTCATGCGATAAAAAAAATTTAGAGATTAATTAATTATGATCTGTAATTAATTAATCTAATTAATCTCTTTTTAATCTCACCTAAAAATGCTGAGAAAAGCCTTCAATTGATATTTTCATTTAAATTCATTATTACATTATTGTGGCAGATCAAAAGACTGATATAGAACAAAAAAAGTGACTTTATAAAGTCATTTATTGTTTAACAAATCTCTCCAAATTGACTGTTGAGCCCAAGTCTCCATGAATAAGAAACTGTTTGCTGTAAAGTAGCAAAGATGAGGAAATCTGAACATAATAACTTTTGTCTACTTAAAGACAATAAAAAATCCAGTCTTTCCTTAACCATATTAAAAATATTATTGATAGAGAAATGCTTTATATATGAGATCACTGGTTTTAGTTCTGGTTTAGTCCTGGTTTAGTCCTGGTTTTAGTCTTGGTGTTAGTTCTGGTTTAGAGGCACACAGGAGGAAGTGCGGTTTATGCAGCGTACGCGAGAAAACGTACGCGGCGCACGGGAGCACGTCGGTGTCCGCGCAGTAACTACGGAAAGAAATGTGGTCCGCGCGTTCTCGGGTTAATGACGATGATGAAGGTGTGTGTTTGTGTGTTTTTGTATTTGTGTGTGTTTGTGTGCGTGTCCCCTCATGTGGCAGGTCACTATAGGACAGTAGTGCAGACATCATGAGTCTATGCAGGTTGTTTTCACCAGTGACATTTAAGGTGCACTGCTGCCTCTCTTCTACTGGCTCTTCGACCTCGTCCATTGTGCGACTAACGCGGCGACTTACTGCGCGCGTTTTGTGTGGGTTTCCGGCAATGAGTGGAATTACCGAAATAAAAAAATAATGAATGTGTTTTTTTGTGTGTGTGTGTTGTCCCAACAACACATAAAAACAGATTTTATAATAAAGCAACTCGCATACAGAAACTGCAAAGTTAGAGATTAAAAATGAGATTAACGCGATTAAAAAACATAACGCGCTAAATATGACTGTAATTAATTAATCGTAATTAACGCGATAATTTGACACCCCTAATAATAATAATAAAAAATACATTAAAAATAAACCGCCAATATGCCGGACTGATTCTGAACATTTTTGCCAAAATTAAATGACAGAAAATGCCATTACTGTCTATAAACCGAGACTTTACCAGTTTTTTTTCTGAAACAGGGACTTAACCAAAACAAAACCATGCCGAAACCTAAACTTTTAATATCCTTAAAGCTGCGTAACTTTTCTGGTGAAGGGTCTGTCAAATGCTTTTCTACATGGAGATGTTATTGCTTTATCTGGAATGTTTCACAGTATGGCTTTAAGCCATTCTATCTTCATGGAGACCAAACCAGACCAAGTTACAGGTCAGATCTGTGTCACAATGTTTGTTTTTCGAGGTATTTTTGAGCTATAAAACCACCTGTAATGGAATAAATGTAAAGTAGAGCTGTTTAAAGTCATACTGTGGAACATTTTAGGCAAAGTAATAGCATCTCCATGGAGACAAGTAGGTGGTGGACCCTCCACATTGCAGAGTGCACCTTTAAACTATTAAAACAAAACCTGTACATTCATTTTTTCTAAGACAAAGTGTGTATTATAGTGTAGCCTTCATGTCACTCCTCCTCCTTTTTTTTATCACTCCTCCTCCTTTTTTTTAATCACTCCTCCTCCTTTTTTATCACTCCTCCCCTTTTCTTGTCACTCCTCCCCCTTTTTTGTCCCCTGCTCCTAATTTTTTGTCACTCCTCCTACTTTTGTCACTCCTCCTAATTTCTTTTGTCAATCCTCCTACTTCTCTTGTCACTCCGCTTCCTTTTTTGTCACTCCTCCTTGTTTGTCCCTCCTTCTCACCTTGACGGGCACCTCCTGGTCGTGGGTGTGGTCCTGGGCGGTGAACACGTATGAGATCTCGGAGTGGCAGGTGGGCTGTCTGCAGATGGCACATTTGATGGCCCTGTTCCTCGCTCCGACGCTGTACTGCTCCACCATGATGGCGATGCACTCATTACAGAAGCAGTGCCCACAGGTAAGAACTGCCCACTGAGGAGAGCGAGAGAAGACGGAGAGTTACTGAAAAGATAAACTGCAAAATGATGTGATTTTAAAGTTGTCTTTTTGAGTGCTTGGCTTTTCCAACTTTGTATTTGAGACTGGTCTCTGTACTAAAGAGCACCAAAAAGAATGTTGTTGGTCAAAAAGACTCACTTCTTGCCCCAGTGGTCGGGCACAGATGGGGCACGGCTCTGGGTTGAGGCCTCCTGTTGACTTGTCCTGAGACTGTAACAAAACAAAGGAATTATATTTATAAAGAAGATTTTCAACACATTTTCTCAAACTGTGTAAAAGTGCAGTCATGATGGTCACATTTTGAGATTTGGAGGTACGTTTTTAGTGGTTCTCATTTTCAGCAGCTTATTTTTTTCCCATGTACAGATATATTGTATAAGCAGCTCTTGAGGTGAAGCATGTTCAGAAAGTGTATGTTAGCATGCTAGTTGTGCCCGTTGTTATCGTCCCAACAAAACTTCAAAATGCTCTGATCTCTGAGAGTTATAAGTTGTAAGTTTTAATGACGACGTTCTGAATGCAAAAGGTAAACGAGAAATAACTCTAGACCACTGCAAATTGTTTAAGATGAACTAGTTTTGTTTTTCATGTTTTTTAGACAATAAAAATCAGGTACAGCTCCTTTAAGTTTATCCTAAGGGAAGCCTTGGTTTATAACAGACATGTCAAACTCAGGCCCGGGGGCCAAATTTGGCCTGCGATCATATCAAATCTGTATTAGAGCTCCCCGCTGGCTACAGATAGACTATAGAGACATTATTTATTTAAATTTTGTTATTATATTATATTATTATTATTATATATTTGTTCTGAATTCAATGTTTAAGCAAAACTATTATTAAACATTTATTTGAATAAGAAAAGGTTTTACATTACAAAAAACATGCAGATGGTGTTGAAATTTTTCAATAAATATTTAGTTTGGCCCACGACTTAGTCCCAGTTTTTAATTTCGGCCTCTGTGAATTTGAGTTTGACTCTCCTGGTTTATAATATGTGAGAGTGTGGTGACCTTCTCAAGGTTGTTGAGGTACAGCTGTTGTCCCAGTTTCTTCTGGAGCTGAGATTTAGCCATGGCCTGATCGTTCAGCAGCTTCACTCTGTTCTGCTCCACCTGAGAACAGTGGTAGAGTGTTGGAGTGTTATATAGTTGTTTACACAGAGAGAGAGCTGTGAATAATAGAGGTGTTCTTCTGAAACAGTATGGACTATCTGACCTCATGAGGCTCTATGATGTGCAGTAGTTTGGGTTTGGGCTCGTCTGGGAGTCTCACTCGTAGTCTCTCTGTGGCCATCCCCAGCTCATCGATGGCAGACACATGGTTCCTCAGCACGCCCCAGTACTCATGAAGCACCTGGAAAGAAAACACAAATGCTCTTATGTTCACACATTTACACAAACACACAGACAAAAATTAAACAATTGTGTGTGGGTGAAATGTCTTGCATAGGGGTACAAGGACAATAGTAGTGGTGAGAGTTGGGATTGACCTCGTTCCTACCTTGTATTCTTTCTTCCAGTTCTCAAACAGCTCCATGAAGGTGGTGCCCTCCTCCACCAGCTCTGGGTCCAGGCGTCTGGACTTGGCGAAGGCGAGGATGGCTTTGAGGGCGCGCTCCGTCTCACTCGCTGCCCACAGACCTCTGCTCGTGGTGGGCAGACGATCATCCACCAGCCCCTCCTCCTCCTCGATCATCTCCTCAAAGATGGCCGTCTGACCCTTCACCCTGGAAACACACATTTTTGTATTATTCAGGTAATAAAACAATCAGTGCCTCTAAATGTCTTGGTTGAGGTTGATGTATACTAACTAACTGAATACAGCCTCTATCTCTGCAGCTTTGTTATCATTTTCGTTTTAGACATAAAATAGTAAAAATTCTAATTTCACACACCAGCCTAACCAAAAAAAGATATAATGAATTATTACTTACGTGTGAGAAAACAGCTTGGACTCATAATCATTGAAAAGTTCATCGGCTTTACAAAAAACACAACTGAAAAACAAATATGAAGAATAGGAGTTATATTGAGTTAGTCCCTGGGTCTTTTTTTTTCACTAAAGACGTTCTTCATTTTTGTAAACAGTTGACCTGCAGAGGGAAGAATGATTATATCTATGACTTTATTCATTTTATTTTGAACATTTTCTATATCTTTATTTAACCAGGATGATGTCCCATTGAGATTCAGAATCTACTTTACAAGAGAGACGTGGCCAAGGCAGAAGGCAACACAACAACTCAGTACACAAAGTCACAACATATTATTGATAATAATGGTCTACCAGTGTGTTTGATTATTTCATTTTATTTTATGCAGTGTTTCCAGAAGAAACGTATCTCACAATCTTTTATCGGGACGGGCCTTGTTGTATTCCTATTGTTGTATCATTTACACTTTAATCATGTCTTACTGTATATCATGTCTTACTTGTTGAGGGGCAGTCTGTTGGGTCTGAGGTGGCAGATTGTAGCTTCATCGATCACTTCCTGAGAGGCCGGTCCCTCCAGCCTCTTCACCGCCTCCTGGACTGTTTTCTGAGATTTCAACAACTCCTGAAGTTTAGTGGTGAGAATGAATTGCAGACCGCTGGCATCTCGGAACCTACCAAGTACAACATATTTGGAAAAATTAAAATTGTGCTATGGAACTTTTGAGAAGAAACTGTCTTGTCTACATGGACGTAGACAAGTGACTGTGAGTGTCATGTCACATGCATTTCGATGACATGTGTTTTATGATCTATTTAAAAAAAAAAAAAAAAAAGGTGTTTTTACTGCTCCATAAATACTTTGAAAAACAGTCCTTCTTAATGCTCAGGATCTCCACTCCACAAATCTGACTTTTCAACTTTATCAATCATTATCTGTGAAACATTCCAGATAAATCAAGTGCACTCCTTTGGAGCCGGCATCAAACCAAGAGCCACTGTTTAAAAGGGTTTAGAGATGTTTTTTTTATACATTTGTGTTGCTGAACCAGGTCTAAACCAGGTACATCAGATCCATATCAGGACATTGGACTCTGGTTCTCTTACTTGTCGGCCATGGAGAGCTTGTTGATGGGCTGTTTGTAGTTTGTGGTTAGTTCATTTTTGACTCTTGTTACGAGTTCATCCTCTGAGCTGCTGCGGACGGCTTTCTGCACCACGTCCAACCACCAGGGAGAGTTTAGCTTCACCTAGAAACAAAATTGCACCATCACTGTAACACTAAGTAGAAGGCATTAGTCTTATTTAGAGCAACACAGACAGTAAGGTATTCAGAAAGTGTCTTGCTCAAAAGCACAATGTACTGTGTGGAAGCAGGGATCAGACTTCAACTGTGTACTAGTCAATCAGTGCAAATGTTTAGCAGGATAGTGGACTTTGCTTTTTTGAAATGATGAGGGAAACATTTGAAGATTTAGGTTATTTACTAAAACTAACAACTGTCAAACTATTACTACTTTGATTTGGTGAATGTCTCTCTCTGCTCTTTACCCCCTTTATACGCCATACAATCTGCCAAATAAAGTCAGAAGGAAATAAAAATCACCACATTGTCTCACTTTGCGTTTGAGTTCTTTGATGTTTTGTAGAACGGGCTGCAGAGCGTTAAAAGCGTCTGCCACTTCTGAGTCGTACTTGGTCATGTAGTGCTGCCGGAGCTGCTCAGCCTGAAAAATAAAACACACACAGACTTTATGAATCCAATGTAAACTTTTAAAGAGACATTACTTGGTGTAATATTTCCTCACCTCTTCACTGAGTTTGTCGTCTCTCAGAGTCGGGGGGATTCCTGGGTGTTTGGCGTTCAGCAGCTCCATCAGATTGTGAGTGGCATGAAGTCTCTGTTTGAAACAAATAAATGTGGATATTTTTACTGAAATTCTACTGCCTTTGAGAGATGCTTTTGTGAGACTACATGTTCACACCATAACTGACTATTTATACATGAACAGGCCTGCTGAGGGCTTCAGTGTTCAGTGAAAATAGACTCCCAGTGGAATTGAACTGAATTAACCCAGACAACTGCAGCCTTGCCATATCTGATGTTTGGTAATTATTAAACAAAAACATCTGATTATGGTCCTTTTGATCACTAAGATTTTTCTGTTTGCATGTGATTCAAGTAACCTTTACACTCCAGAAATCTGATAATAATTAGATTTTGGTGTGCATGTCAACTGCTAAAATATTGAAAATCGTGAGTTGGGAGATGTCTGCCCTCAAAGCTCGTGTGCAGCCTATGTTTTTAAAATAAATAGGCTAGTATATCAAATGGTTTTGCAGATGTGTGAGTTGTTTGATGTGTAAATCCTAAACAAATGCAAACACATGAATATTAAACATCATTTACCTGCAGAGAGTCTGTTTTCAGTTTCCCTTTGTGCTCCTCTGATGAGCGCAGCACCTCTCTGTACATCTCTGCTCCCTCTGCAAACTCACCTATACAGGACAAAAGAGACAAAGAAGATTAGCTGTTAGAACTTTACGTTACATTTATGAACAATATTAACCAAGTACCAGGAAAAAAGCATAATATGATTTTGTTAAAAGGTTCTATATTATGTAAGCTTTAAGTCATGTTATAATGTTGTTCCCTCCTCAAAAACACACCTGGAGTTGTGTTTTGTTTCATTCACACATGTTTAAGTAACTCTTTATTATTAGTCTGTCTACATCTCCAAAGCCCTAAATGGACTATTCCACCTTGTGATGTCATGAAGTGGTAATTTTCAAGTTAACAGCTCCTTTTACCTTAAACTCAGTTGAACAGGGATGTAACAAAAATACTGTTATATTGCATTGTCAATACTCTCACAATTATCGTGGGTCATTGCAATATACCAAATCACAAGTCTGTGATTAACTTAAACGAGTACCGTATTTTTTGGACTATAAGTTGCACTTTTTTCATGGTTTGGGTGTTTCCTGTGGCTTATATATTAAAACTTTCAAACTGTCAGCTGCGAGAGGCTCTTGACTTGTGTGTCAGTTTTCTGCGTGTATCTTCTGCAGAATAAGCCACTGTCCTGCTGCAAGTAGTGAAATCTGCAGCAGAAAATGGTAATCGAGCAGCAGAAAAGAAGTTTGGAGTGAGCGAGAAACTTGTGAGGGACTGGAGGAAAGCGGGGATGGAGAACACAGCTTCACGGCAGCTGGGAGTGTGCAGCATGCAACTTTCCTGGAAGTCACTGCATGACAAAGCCTGGACTTCAGTGACAACTGAATTTGCACGAAGTTGCTCAGAAGTGACACCAAGGATGAAGAATTGAAGGAATTTAGTGATTTGGAGTGAGACGGTTTGTTCTGTTGTTTATGCTATAATTATCTGAATAATTGTTCATATATCACGTTAACATTAACGCCTATTCAATCTGTTGTTCTCTGTTCTATTGTTATTACTAGAACATTGCCTTTCAAGATAAATTGTCGGTTCCTGGTCCCTGATTTTATAAAGTAAATCTCCCCCAAAAAGTGCGACTTATAGTCCGGTGTGACTTATATATGTTTTTTTTCTTCTTCATTGCGCATTTTTTGGCTAGTGCGACTTATACTCCGGAGGGACTTATTGTCTAAAAAATACAGTAGTTATGATGCAGCAATGGACTCAGTTCATGCTTATGTCACAAAACCAGAAGACATATGGAAACATGCGGCTGACGATTTCCTTTGGGCTCAGAAGGCTCTCTGACAAAATCTGGAAAAACAGAGAAAGCTGAGAATATGGCCCAATTTTCTTCATCCAGATGTCTTTGTATTCTTTCTTTTTTCCCTTTATAAACTTGCCAATTTCATTTGTGTATAATAATTTTTCTATGGTCATTTTAAAAAAAGAAGTCACTGCAGTGTTCTGTTGTGTTCGGCAGATCCACAGTTCCAACCAGCTGTCTGTGACTGACACTGACACTGAAGCTGTGATTAAAGTCTCGTCCCTCATGGAAATCTTTGTCAGGTTGTGAAGACGCTGCTGCTGAATCCACGGTTTTATCACAAGCCCAGTGTCGGGAACTACACCGGAAGTTTGCATGTTTTCAAACGTCTTCCGGTAAGTGTGAATAGAGCCTATAGCTAAAAAAAACAGAGGGAACTACATAGACCATGATCCTTTGTTCTGTCTGAGTCCAAACTTGACAAAATAAGTGTTATAAGCACTTTTAAATCATAATTCTTTAGATTATGACAGAAGCAAAGGACTGTCAAAAAATTTTAAAAAGGGAAATGTAACATACTTCCAATTTTGTTTTGTTGATGTTTTGTTTTGAAAATATCGTATCAAAAGATTTGGATATCGTTACGTCCCTAGCACCTATACATACCATAGACCAAATAAGATTCTCTGTAAACCCTACTTCTCCACGGTTTGGGCCTTATTTAGATCAAATTACTACCACAAAAGTACAAAACGTGTGACTGGAAACAAAGCAAAGGGTTTGACTAATTACCCTGGGAAAGTTGGGGGTACATAAGCCTTAAAGAGCCGGCGTGTACCTCTGATAATGTGGATCCCAGCCAGGCCGTTGAGAGCGCACACCAGCTGCCTGTGGGCCTCCTCGCATTCGGATCTGCATTTCTTCTGCAGAGACTTAAGCAGCTCCTCCATCGTCATCGTGCTGAAAGAAAAAAAGAGGAAAAAAACACATGTTAAAAAAACTAATTAACAACTAAATGAGGTATAGCGGGTTCATTTTACATAAACACAGCTGCGACGACTATGAAAAGGGAGGGGAGGGAGTCTATTAACGCAATAAATATACATGTGTTTGAGATGAATGGGAGCAGACGTGAGACTGAAGGACACTTGAAAACACAAAGCAGAGTGTGTGGAGGTGTATGAGAGGAGCTATAAAGAGAGGATTACAGGGTTACAGAGGTTTGTATAGTTTAAACACAGGGTCTCGCATGTCCTCAATGTAAATCTATGCAGCTTGTTCAGAGGCGACATTTTGAGGACTTTTTAGCCATTCAGAAGGTATATTATTTTGTTTTGAATTGTTAATTGCCGTGGTGCTACTTTTTCATCAGTGTGAAACTCATGGATGGGTTCAAAAATGAGTGTTTTAAAGGCAACTACTGTGTGACACGATTTGGATACAACTTTGATTGAAGAAATAAATGTTGCATTACGACTTTTTAAAACCAGCTTTCAAAAGAACTTCGTCCCTCTCTCCCTCCTTATTCACCTCTCTCCCTTTTTATTCCTCCCTAGTCTCTCCCACTCTAACCTCTTCACTTCTCTCTTTCCATTTTTCTGCCTCCTCTCATCCTCGCAGGTGATAGTCCCTCTTGCTCTTTCTCACCTCTTCAGCTCTCTGTCTCACATTTTTTTCTCCCCTCCTCCTCTTCTTCATGCCTCATCCCTCTCTCTCTTATCTCTTCACCTTCTGTTGTGCCCTTTTGCTTTGAGGAAGTTAGTAACTCACGTAATAAAAAATAAGAACTTGAGAAGATCCATTATTTGCCTTTTTAATTATAAATAAATATATATACTAGAGATGCGCAGGTGGCAGTTACAGCCGCAGACTCTGCGGCTAAACCGCGGGTCGGGCGGATGACGTGACGAAAAATTATATTTTAATTAAATTTGGGCGGGTGGCGGTTTCACTACTCAGATAAAAAAACTCTGAACTCGGAGCAACTGGGAGGAGACCGAGCGGACGGCGGGCGGGTGCGGTTTTGAAAACTGGTCAAAAACTGTGGCTGCAAATGGACAGCGGGCGAGGTGATGAGTTTTGCGATGCGGTTGCGGATGAAAAAGTAGCCCATCTGCACACCTCTAATATATACAGGTTTCCCACTCTTTTTCACTGACAAAATTTCAAAACTTTTCCATGAGTTTTTCATGAGCTAAAGTGAATTTTCCATGACTTTACGGCACCTACATGTGTAGAATTGATCAGACTTTTAGGGTTAAATATGAAATGTTAACTCTTTCCACTCACCTTATGGTTTGAGATTATTATTGGAACATTCAAAATCCTGTCAGTGCATTTATTGTCGTCTCTTTTAAACAAAAGGTGCAGACGTTCACAAATAATCAGAACAGACTCATGAGAACTGAACAGAAAGCTGTAGTAGCATGAAAGAGATACAAAAATTCCATGACTTTTCCAAAATTTTTCACTTTTCTAGGCCTGGAAAATGACATTTTCAATTTCCATGACTTTTCCAGGATTTCCATGCCTGTGGGAACCCTGCACATCAAATGAATAATTGCTTAAATCAATATAAACTGGCTCCAACACACTCTCTCTCTCACCTCTTCTGCAGGGGTAAGAACTCCCCCCTGACGGCCTGCGGGTGGCAGCAGGCCTGTCTCAGTCTGAGCAGAGGCCCCAGAATCGTGTGAACGGTGCGGCGATCCAGAGCTCCGAGCTTCAGGGTCCAGTCTGAGATCTTCCTGAGTCGCAGCAGTGCATCCTGGGAGCAGACCTCGTGTTGTCTGTGGTAAAAGTGTCCCTCCACCGGAGAGAAGCGGAGCCAGTGCACCTCCTCTGTCTGCGCGGGGATCTGGATCTGACACAAGAATGACACACATGTGGTTTTGTATAGCTCAACTGTAAAATCAAACATGTCACTGATGGATTTATGGATTTACAAAACCAAATAATGGTTTAATATTCTAACATATTACATTTCAATTTAGATATGATGTACATCTACCTACAATAATGCATCTTACTGTAGATTGTTGAAGGGTTGTACAATTAATCACATTTCAATGACAATTATGATTATTGCTCTAATTGAGAGAAACATTTGTGTAATCTAGAAATCAACATTATTAACTTTAACTCTTAAATACAATACACATGTTTCTCTTTGAGTGGAAAACTTGCTCATGGATTAGACTTTTCTACTTGTAGAGTATGTTTACAGTATATGTCCGTAAAACACGTCACCTACTTTGATTTGTTTGATTTGTTTCATTTTAATTTGAAGTAAAGTAAACATGTGCACTGTCCTGGTTTAGTCCCTGTACCTGGTCTATGACGTCCTTCTTGGCCGACCTCCACAGGACCTGACTGACAACACTGTACAGAGGAGCCGTGTTACCACGGCGATAGGGGCGGTACAAAAGCTGGTCCCACCAACGCTTCACCCAGAACGGGTCGAGTCTGAGGAACAGCACCAGCCCGTACAGATCTGAGCACAGAGGGGAAAACAGAGAGTGGTTGTATATTACATGGAACAGTCAAAAGTCTTGCCAAAACTACTTCATTCAGGTGAGATCATATTAAAGCAACACAGTGTAACTTTCTGGAGGTAGCCCATCAGCAGCATGATTTCATGGAAACAGAAAGTAAAACCAGATGGATATGTTTTGTACCACACTGTGGAATATTAAAGCCAAAGAAATAATAGTGACAAGAAGATGAGGGTTTTAATAATACACACTTTTTCAGTTTTCATAGGGACAAAATCAAATTAAAACATCAAACAAATAGTGTATTTGAGTGTTAAGTTTTAATACCTTCTAAACCTCTCTGAACTGGAGTCCCACTGACGCACCATCGGTTCACTGAGGCCAAACGCAGAGCCATCTCAGCCGCCTGAAGAAGAGAAATAACAGTATAAAATAAAATAAATCCTCACAGAGGTACTGTGCACTTACAGGACTGTGACATCATCACATTGTACAAACTGAAAACCACTAAAAGTTTCATACCTTCGCTGTGACACACTCCACCATCTGAGCCTCGTCCAGGCAGATGCGCCACCACTCGACGGCCACCAGGGGGCTGGGCACGGCCATGTACCTCTTCTGGCTCCTGAAGCGGCGCCCGTCCTCACTGTTGCTATGGGGCAGGTCCACATAGTTCAGCTCTGAGCGCAGCACATCGTACGTTGTCATGACGACGTCCTGCTCCGCCAACATCTGAGGCTGAAGGAAACCATGACGCTTCACGCCCTGGTACACCTGACAGAGACAGACACAGTATTACAGCACACATGAGACGAGACTATACAGAGAGAGAATACAGAGATACAAGTAACATACACTTGAGTACACCTGACAGAGACAGAGGGAGATATAAACTACATATTACACAACAGTGTACCTGACACACAAGAGTGGACAATCACATACACACACTAGACAGGAAGTGTATGACTATGGCTTTTTTAGTCATGTTTTTTCAGTTTCCATGTCTATCTCTGACTGACATGAATTACCAGTAATAAAAACATTCTCACTGCAAATCAGGAAAATCATTTGTAAATTTATAAATTAACAAATATAGAAGTGTATTCATAAAAAGCAGCACCACATTACTTTCTGAAGATGGCACGTCACCTGCATGATTCCAAGGAAACACAAGTTAAAACCATACTTCGGAACATTTTTATACCAACTGTGGAATTTTATAATTAAAGTAAATTCCCATTCCCATTAAAACAAGCAGGAAGTGGTGCACCACCAGGCCAAATATAAGTCAGGTTTGTGGAGATACAAGCCTGTTCACAGTAAGGACACATGTTTTAAAAATGTAAAAAAAAAAAAACTATCCTTTTCTGTTTGTAAAAATAGATTGGCTAAGAAGTTATAAGTGGAGCTTTAAACCTGTCTGTTGGAGGGTCCGTCACCTGCTTGTCTCCATGGAGATGTGCCTAGAATGTTCCACAGTATGACCATAAACTTAAGAATCTCCATGAAGACTTTCAAGCCAAACTACGAGTTAGATTTGTGGAGAGGCGACCCCACACAGTAAGCATGTATGCATTTTAAGATATTTTGAGCAATAAATAACTTCTGTAGTTGAATAAATACATGACAGATTAGTTTAATACCATAATGTGGACAATTTAAACCAAAGCATTAACATCTCCATGGAAACAAACTGGTTGCAGACTCTCTCCAGAAAAGTTTCGCAGTGCACCTTTAAATCTGAGCATGTCTGTACGTTAAAGCAGCGAATATTTAAAGCTCCACTGACCAAGACTCTGAGTGAGGAGGAGCGGATGTGTTTGTTGATCTCCTCGACCCACTGGTGGCAGATGGAGCTGGGCGAGATGATCAGGGTGGCACCGGTGGGCACGGGCGTCATGGCGACCAAACAGTGCGGGCAGAAGAAGGGCGTGGTCTCCAGGCTCTCCTCTTTGTAGTTGACACAGTCTGCGTGCTGCCACAGGTCACAGTTCATACACTGCACCCTCGGTTTGTAATCTATAATCCCCAACTCTCCACAGATGCATTCAAATCGATAGTCTGAGGTGTTAAACGGAAAAAAAGATTCACGTTTGGGCAAGTCTGCGTCCTCCTGTGAAATATTCTGCACAATTTCAGCTTTTTCCTCTTGTTTATCATCCATTTTGTCTTTCAAATCCAACTCGCTCCTGTCCTGAGAAGTTTGGGAGGAGGTTGAGATGTTAAAAGTGTCATTTGAATCGTCCAAGTTTTCAGATAAGTTTTCCTCATATTCCTTCTTCGTTTCCATGGGGAAGGAGGACGGTAACGCCTCAGGATCGTTGTCATCTTCAGTCAGAGCGTTTTGGAGAGCCACCTCAGCTTTGTCCTTTGCTCGTCTCTGAAATGATTTCCGAGGTGAGGACTCTGGAGTTTTAGGAAGCTACAAGAGAAAACAGGATGGATATTACTGTAATGTACTGACACAATGTTGTGAACTTGTTTTAATTGAACAGAAAGAATTACAACATACTGAACCAATCACAAAGTAACTTATAGTCAAGGTGTTTGCAGGTGGTATGACTGCACCAAAGTCAAAAATGTCATTCTGATTTTACTAGTGACACTTATTTTAATTCTAAATTTAGCCTAGCAATTTTTACAAGCGAGATTTGTGATTTCCTCTAAGCGATTTGCCCAAGACCAGATTTTATGGAAGTAAAGGGAGAAAACTTGCAATGGTGCATATTCCCTTATAACATTGTACTTTTCTATTGGTGACAAACAAACAAAAACCTACATTCTAACTGTATTTCTTTTAGCTGCTCCCATCTGTATTAAATATTATTGGCCTATATAATATTGTGATGTCATCTGAAACCCAAAAACAGTGTGGATCCATGGGTTTTAGATTTAGAGGGATGGAAAATTTGGACTGTTGTCATAACAATTACCAATTAAAATACAAATATTTTATCTTTTGAATGGTCAAAAGTCCTAAGTGTCGTCATACTGATATCCATGAATAGCTGGAAGTCATTTCAACTCCTGTCCAAGACTATATCAGAGAAAAGCAAGTTTTAAGATTAATTTATGTCAGGGTTTCCATTCTTTTTCACTGACACAATTTCAAAACTTTTCCATGATTTTTCATGACTTGAAGTGAATTTTCCATGACTTTACGGCACCTACATGTATAGAATTGATGAGACTTTTGGGGCTAAATATGAAATGTGAACTCTTTCCACTCACCTTATGGTTTGGGATTATAGTTTTTGAACATTCAAAATTCTGTCAGTGCATTTATTGTCATCTCTTTAAAACAAAAGGTGCAGACGTTCAGAAATAATCATAATGTTCTAATAAGAATGTAACAGAACACTGTAGTTGTGTGAAAGAGATACTAAAATTCTCTGACTTTTCCAAAACCTTCATTGACTTTACAAAATTCCATGACTTTTGCAGGATTTCCATGACTGTGAGAAGCCTGTTATGTGGTTAAAAAAGTTGTATTTAATCTATTGTAATGTGTGTATATGGAGAAAAGCAGGTTTTACTGTATCTTGTGAGATGTTAACTTTATTAGAGACCAGATAAAAAATATAAAACGTATTCATCCCCACCATCTTAGTTGGCGTGAGGAGTTTCTCCTGAGCTCCTGTGAAGTTGAACCCGAGTTTGAAGGAGCCCATCATGCCGCGACCTTTGACCTGCTTGACCTTCTTCTCGTCCAGCAGTTTCTTCATGGTTCTCTTGATGTGGTTCCGGTTCTTCACGGGGTCGTAACCGTAGCAACTGCGCATGTACGAGGACATGGAGGACAGGGAGACGCCTTTGCCTTTGTCCATCTGCTTCATCGCCATCAGCAACATGGAGCGCACCGCTGAGGGAGAAAGAGGACAGAGATTAAACACCCTAAGTAATATTGCTCACAACAAAGAGCTGTCTGAGTCCTCAAAGCTGCTGAATCCTACTCAAGTCACAGATTAAGAAAACAGAATTGGAGAACAAAGTAAATACAGAGCAGTGGGGCGTGTACCGGTGTCGCTGAAAACTTGCCTGACCAGCCAGTCCCTTTTACATTCTTGGAACTGGACCATAGAGTCGACTGCTAATTCTGTAAAAATCCTCACTGTTTCTCAGCACTTTATGCAGACCTTTCTTCTCTTTAACACGTAACAAACCTGTCTGCTGTGTTTTGTCTCCCTGAAAACAGGGAGACAAAACACAGCTCCAGATCTGCTAATATTTGTAAAGTTTTGTCAAAGTGTGTGGCTCTGGCTGGACAGGTAAGGTGAACACAGACTGATCTGAGCAAGAATGAAAATGCATGAATCACTTTAAATAGAATGAGTAAATGAGAAGGAGAAACAACTAGAACATGGTTAAACGCTCTGATAAATTGAGTTTGCACAATATGTCTCCTTTAAAAATTTTCCAGTAAAATTCATCGTCATGTGCGAGTATTTTATAGGATAATAGATGCACTGTAATGCCTGAACATGATATTGTGTCCTCACGTGGAAAATTGATTTTTGTCTTTGGCTGAGAGACTTCTGATTTGCGAGGAGGAGCTTTCTTCTTCTCTGGCGGAGGAGGAACAAAGTAATTCACTGACTGCCCCTGAAATACAAAAATAGCTGTTTAAATGACATCAAACAAACACAATATTTTCATGTGTATTTGTGTTAACTGTTACCTCTGGCAGCGTGTAGGCCTCCTGCTGCAGGTTGGGTCGAGGGTTGCACAGAATTAGGGCCAAAACTTCCACTGTTTTTCCGAGTCCCATCTCATCGGCCAGGATCCCCCCGGGCCACTCCACTCCGGCCAGAGGGAACTCACGGATCAGGCTGGAAAACAAGACATTTTAAACTAGCCATTATCCTTTACATAAATCTGGTATTTTCAGGGCCTCAAACACAAACTCAGACTAACCTAAGACCTGAACCAGGACTAAATAAGTGCCAGAATCAAGACTAAACCAGGTCTAAAACAAAAACTAAAATGCAACTAAATCAGATCAAAAGTAAACTTGAAGTAAACTTGAAGATGTAAAGCTCTTACCAGCCTGTATAAGGGTTATAAAACAACTTCTTTCCGCACAAAGTCACCACCTCGTGCCAAAGGTGATGCAAACCTTGTTCTGCAAAGAAAACAGCCATAAAATCACTTAACACGTAACAGTTCAATTATTTTGTGATTCATCTTTTAGTGTCCTGAAAGTGCTATATACATAAAATGCATTTACACTTAAGATATTTTTTATACATGTTTATCTGCATTCAAACTGTGTTAAATATTTTGTTTTAGTATTAATCTCTTGTCTACATTTTTTATTTAGTTTTAGATTAAGATGTAGATTTAGATAATTGTTTTAAGTTCTACTGAATACATAATAGAGTTGAAGAAAATATATTTGTATTTTTTATTATCATGAAACAGACATGTTCCTTGGATGTGGAGTTTCTTTATGTTCTGGTTTGAGGCTCTGGGACTGAAAAGTGGAATATGGATCTGCTTGGTCTCTATTTTTTCTTTCTTTCATTCATGTATGTTTTATTTTTATGAATCAACAAACTTATCAGTGCTTTTGCTTTATAAATGTTGTAAATGTTTTAGTAAACGTTTAGTGATTGCTTTTTATTTAGTTATAATTAGCATCATGTCTAAGTTAACACTGCATTCAGTCTCGTGTTGTTACCAGGAGGACAGTAGTAGCTCTTGTTACCTTTATGTTCGGAGCTCTTGGCCTTTTCTCTCTTTAACATCCAGTTGACAGCCTGACACTGGTACGGCCGCAGCACCGGGACCAGAGCTTTGTGCTGGGGCTCAAAGCTCAGCTCTGCCCCCTCTCTCTGATGAACACGCCGAACGAAATCATACAGTTCCTCTATGTTCTGTCTCTCCAACTCCGTGTCACATTCCTCCTCCTCATTATCAACCACTTCTACAAAAAAACAATAAAAAAAAATATAAAAAAAATAGTATACATATGAGGAGCTGCAGAGAAGAGGACACATTTTTAAAAATACTATATGGTTAGGGTTATTTTAAACTTGGTAAAATTTTAATTGTATTTTGGACATTTATTGGAGCTGCAACAACTGAATAATTTCATTCCAGGATCAATCAAATATTCCATTTGGGATACATGTGCTTTTTATGAATGTGCCATTTCAATCCATGACTAAGTGGGACTACATATTTAAACTTGAAATAACTAGCAGGAGGTAAAGATGAAATGGAACAAACTAAACACAGCATAACTATAATAATCAAGACTTAATTCAACAGTGCATTCACATTTACACATACACAAATCAAAATTGGGACTAAACTCGGAATTAAACCCGGACTGGTCCAGGACTAAACTAACCTGATTCATCAGCCAGTTTCACTTTGTAGAAACTGTCTGACCTTGCAGCATTAGAATTCGTTCACTTGACGGTAGGTAGTTTTTTTTTTTCATTTAACCAATCGCTGCTATTTAGTCGTGACATATGTAATGCGCTGCTAACGGGGCTAACTGGTATATGAAGCTTTTCCCAAATCCTGTAGGAAGAAGGACAATAACGTCTTTCCCCTTGATAAAATTCACCAAACATTCTCTTTGTTCCTCAATCTCGGGAATCATTGCCAACACAGAATGTTTGGTTCTTCGCTGATTGGCTGGTGCCTGAACTCACACTTCCAGGGTTTTTGCAAACCATTTAGTGTATTCTGATTCCTGATCTAGTCGCTGGAGAGAAAGGAATTTGAGTGGAGGCACTAGGTGGCGCCAGCCTGACTAGAACTTAACCAAATCTAGATAAAAAATAAACCGTGCTTGAACCAGGACAAGTGTGAACATAAGGCACTCACCAGGAACAATAAAATCATAGAAATATTCCATCATTTTCTGCAGGATTTGATTTGCTTTCTTCAAACGAGTCGCTCCTTCACTCAGAAACTCAGGCTTCCCAAGTCCAGCCTCCAACAGGTAAATGCCCACCTGAAAAATACAGACGTTATTAACTGTACAGGGGACATGACGTCACAAAACAGAGGAAGATGACCTTCTATTTACATATGAGTTGCAAGTGTAATTCTACCAATGATTGGAGCATGTGTATTAAATATTTTAATTGACTGAAAGGAACAAAGCATCTTTAAGAATCAGTCACACTTTACTCTGCATATTCCTGTATAACACTAAAACATGCAAACAGTGCAGTAGTTATAGTAAGGATTAAAAGTACAAAGTAGGGCTGTAGTCCTGAAGTTCTACCAACATTTGTATTAGTGGCCTAATTATATTATTTAGAACCAATAAAAAGGAGAAGCAATTGTGAGAGTCAGCTGGAGATTTGGAAATGAATCATGACTGTGATATGTTTTTTTTTTTCCATTTAAATAACTGCTTCCTATTACAATTTTCCTTTAGAAATAGTTGTTTTGCTTGAACTCTTGTATAGTTGCAGTTACAGTGCATACTTAATAGTTTTGAAAGTTTTCAGTTGACTCATCAGTTGTCAGGGCCTGTGTTTATTTGACAAAGAATTTCTTTATTTGACTACAGCTCTAGTACAAAGTATAAAGAGTATTGTTAACATTCTCACTTTGAGCCTGATATCAAAAATAGATAATCATCATAAATGACTGAAGTGGAAACTACTAACATATTATAATATATCGTATCTTATTAGTACCTTATATGAGTCTTCTTTTCCTTGGTGACAGAGGTGGATAACTCTCCTCTGCAGAAGCCAGTCCAAATCTCCCAGTGAAATTCTGCTCAGACTGCACTCTGCTTTGTGCATGTCCTCTTCTAAATCACTCTGAGCCCCTGAGTCCTCTTCCGAATCATTATTTCTTCTGTAACTTAAACAAAACTGCTGATCTTTCCTTTGAAGCAAGAAAGTCCTCTGCTCAAAGTCTGAAGGAAGCCATTTTGGTTGAACAGTGAACTCCCCTATTAAAGCTTTCCAAAAGAGACCGAGCTGAGCCAGGGGTATTACAGTGACAGATACAGCAGGAGAGGGGGGAGTGTCTGTGGATGTACTTGGTAACTCCTCAGTGGTTTTAACAGTGCTACAAGTTGCAGTTTCATTTTGAGGTTCGCTGTTTGGAGTCAGTTCGATAAAGTTGGAGCAGGTCGGGACCTGGTCAGGATCTTCTTCCAAAATAACTTCGTTCTTCCGGTCCTCGAGCATGTTCCATTCCAGCCTCTTCTTTGCCTCCTCGTCCACTCTCACCGGAGGAGCACGCTTCCTTCTGCTGCTCATGGTGCTGCCCTATAACACAAATACAACTAATTATATTATTATTTTGAACACAATGTATTTTTAGAGTGTAGTGATGGGTGAAATTTCTTAAAATGTCTCTCAACTTGCTGTCTTGATGTATGTCTTGATGTTTCTCAAGTGTTGCTCTAAAAGTGAATATAAGAGCAGGAATATTGGCTTATACCATTGTTTCTAAGAGAACACAGCATGTTTCCTTATGCTTATAGCTTCAAAAAATCTATGTAAGTATTTTTGTAGACTATATATTGCTCACCTCTAACCTAGGCCAAGGATTAAATGCCAATATGGAATACTTTACATATAAGGCAACATGAAAATAAAATAAACAGGTTAAGGGGGTTATATACACTACTAGGTCTGCTAATTATAATCATTCTTAAGCAAGCTCCAAAAGTATAACATTCAATTTTTGTGTAATTGTGCTTTTTACACAGTAGCTACAGTTTGGTATCATTTTACAGTGTTTTCCATGATTTGTGTTTTATATTTATTTATTAAAGGGACAATGCATATTAAAAGCCAAGATAATGTAAGAGACAAACATGAACTTGTAAATATGCAGGATAAATCTCTCACTCATACACTATAAAACACACTCATACATCGTCAATATGTAGGTTAATGTACAGGTCAGACATATACTCTCATTACTTCCACATGCACGACATTGACATTTATTTACAGGTCTATATATTACAGAATGACTATGTGCTCCTCTTCCGTTGCTTAAGGGACTGTTGAAAGATTAAACAGAGACGGTTAATCGTGTCTCCTTCAAATAATTGTAATGAAACAAATTACCTCCATATTCGCAGAAATCTATGCAATTTATGCAAACATCTTCAGTCTGTAAACTACGAGGAAGTTGTCTGAAAGTCATTTACGTAATTATAACTTAATTAGCAGAGAATCATCAACTTGGAGTTTGAATTATTATTCAGTTTATTCTGCAGATGAAATGAGTTTTCAACAGTGAAACACTCACTGTGTGCGTTTTACTTGATTTGATCAAGTAAATCTACTGCGTTACTTAACGCTAAATCTAAATTGCATAATGTAAACATTTCGGCATTGTGTATTTTACGCAAAAAATTAGATGCAAAAACAGCACATTTACTTTTGTTGTTTCACAGAAGACACGGGGATTGTTATCGCAGCTTCACTGGTCGTTTCATGAGGCTGTATTTCTTGTTTTTGTGTCAGAAAAGAACCAAAACATTAGAGCTCATTCACCGCTCCGTGTGCTCCGCCATGTTTAAATGGCGGAAGTGACGTTACAGTATTTTAGGGGGAGTTCCGGTGGATGAAAAACTAAAAAAAAAACTTCGAGCAACAACTTCTAAATTGGAACATAAGACTGATTATAAGACAAATTCATGCAAGACACGATGATGAGTTATTTAAATATGCATATAGCTAATATGTCTTTTGTAGCGCTAACTATCTGAAATATGTTTGTTTAGAAATTCTTGCTAACTCTCTTTTAGCTAATTAACGTGTTCATTATGGGGTTATTTTGCCTCTTTAATATTCATAAATGCACAGAGGGTGATCTACATATAGTCTTTGCTTTGTGTGTTTTGATATCTACAAATGCAAATCTAATAGAAGTTACAAAACTTTGATTTTGGTCTTTACAAATAGATGTGTATTTGTAAATATATATTTTTCATTTGCAAATAAATAAATAGATAAATAAATAATAATAATACATTTAATACATTTGTAAAACTGAAAATTCTGTTTTTCTAAATCCAAGTTGTGATACATTTTATTTGTCTGCAGGAATCTTAAAACAGCGTCAGTCAGAGTTTGGCTGACTTTTGCAAAGGCACATGTTTCACCACAAGATGGAAGCAGACTACACCTGAAGTCTTTATGGTGCAACATCAGACCCACCTGTACCAAAGCATCAAAGCATCAGGTACGTCTATTACAAGCGGACCAGATTTTCAAAATAAAAAATCTGAGACATCCCTGGTTTGGGTTGGTTGTAATGATGAAATTGTGAAACTAGTGCGTAAGGGAAATTGTTCTGCACTTGGCTCTAATGTGAGTCAATATAGTCACATTTTCTTTGTGTTTTAGTCACTCGTCAGCTTTTCTGTATTTACCTAAACAAATGACAGTTTATGCCTCTCTTTACTGTTGGTAGGTTTCAGATTGGTCAAAAATAAGGACATTTCTTGTATAAAATGGATAAATATAAAATATGGGAAAATGTGCTGGGACAGGGGACACAGGGCTCAGAACTGGGACTGTCCCGGGTAAAAAGGGACATCTGGTCCCACTAGTCTATTATATCATTGAAACTCACTCATATTTGTTTTCTGTAACATACAAATGAATAAAATCTCTCTCTATATATATTAAGTTGTCTAATCCTTACATAAATATCCAACGGTGGAAAGAGGACTTAGACTTGGAGTTGACAAACTCTATAACAAACTAATACAAGAATCACATTTCAGAACATGTACAGAGTTAGCAGTTTTTATACACAATTGTAAGACTAGATATTTTGTTATTTGTGGAAGAAATTTGGGTGTTTTAAAAAATTGCTAATTGCTTCCATTCAAATTGCAGTTTCAATTTGAGTGTGATTTAATCTTGCAGTCCCAGCTAGAATTATACTCAAGTACATATCTAAAAATCTACTTGAAAAAAATCTTCTCTGTACAGTTACTTTCCACCTCTGCCTCTTTCTAATCTAGTCTAATCTGCTTGGACTTCTAACAATGAATTAGTTGACGCCTTTTTGGTGTTTGGGGTTCTTGGCGGCGTGCTGGAGCTATCAGGGGCACTGCGGTGAGTGTGACCCGCTTTCGAGATGCGGTGATGGGGAGGAGGAGAGGAGGAGGAGAGGGGGGGTACCAGCCTCCTCTCCCACAGTGCACACTCCGGTGAAGCAGAGGGGAGAGGAGAGGAGAGAGAGCAGAGGGAGAAGAGAGAGAGAGTCCCGTTCGAAGCTCGTCATCACGGCACAAGAAAGCAGTCCCGACGAGAGAGCCCAACGAAAGAACCCATCTGCCCCAGTTCACTTTCTACAGGTAAGAACGGAGCAGTGTAGATTCTCCATAAACTCAGTAGAATTCAGTATAATAGGCATGTGCATGTATTTAGTAGCCTGTATGTACTAACTAGCCTCTTTTTTGTTGGTTTGCTTTAGTTGCTATAGGAATTTGTGTTATTATGCTACTGAAATTTCAAACTCAACTCAATCAGTTGACTTGGTACTCAGTACTCAATGAAAAAAACACACTTTCTTTAGACAATAGAATGTGATTTTCAACATTAAATCTTTTCTATTCCTATGTGGCCTTGTGGACTAGTCTATGTGCTCTTCTACTTGTTCTGATACAGCTCAAGAGCATTCTAAAAACATTCATTTCTGTCCTGCGAATGGGCCTTTTTTAAGTATCGATACCTGTTCAAATGAGTATCTAGTTTTGACTCTATTTTTCACATAGATTATTTTCTGATTTCTGACAATTGGGATTTTATATATGCTATATAAGTTACTAGCCTTTACCTACTTTTCCTAACTTTTCTCTGTACAGTATGTATGTTTTTGGTATATTTTTAAGGTTTCAACATACTTATTGTATAGAAAAGTCATATTTGGTTGCATATTATTTACTTGTTGAACTGGGCTTTTTAAAAATAACTTTGTGTTGTGTTTTTTTTTAACAGCAGGTAGCTGTCTATGGTACTGAAACTTGCTTTACAGTTTCCCTTGTACGCCGTTTTGTTTTACTAACTAGTCTTTTGCTATTTAAATTGTTAAAATACTTACAGCTTGTGGTGACTTTGCAGTGGAGCGAGCGAGTCTGAGTTTTATGTCCTGGTTTATATTTTCAGTCCTATTAATCAATAGACATATGTTCTTAAAGCTAACAGGTCATTTCTAATATTTAGGGTAATACAACTAACAAACAAATGCATTTCCTTTTTATAGGTGATGTTTTGAGGATTTTTGACCACTCAAAAGATAGAATATTCAGTTTTAAATAGTTAACCACGATGGCAACTATGCATATTTTCTTTCTAAAACCTCTGGAGAGAGTTGAAGGTCATTGGTTAGTTTCTGTCAGTTTATTACCTGGACTTGAATTAAAACATTAATGAAGCATTAAATCAGTTAACATGATTTTAATACATACCAAGACACTATACAGGGGGCGTGGTGGTGGAACAGTGCTTAGCCCTGTTCCCTCACAGAAAGTAGGTCATAGTTCCAGGACAGACAAATGCACCATGTCGCAGCAGCCAAATGTTAGTAAAAATTCATTTTTTATTTATGTGAAGTGGACGTCTGGTTTTGTCCTTGTCATCGACTACAACATTCACACTGAATGATGGTACAAGTATACTCCCATAAGACTATTTGTCCTCCTGTTTAGAGCAGTGACAGCAGTGCAGTGTCCAGGGAGACATCTCCACATCTTGTTTTGGTTGATGGAGGCAACCGAAGGTTAGCCACAGAATAGTGTGATGATGATTATTAATAGTAGTAATATTAATAATGTATTAGTCTTATATAGTGCTTTTCCAGACGCTCAGAATTACTTCACTATTTGGTGCATTATTCATACACTATTGTAGCCACAGCTGCCCTGGACAGATAGAAGCGAGGCTGCCAATCTGCAACATCGGCCCCTGTGGCCACCACCAAAACTCACACACACACACACGCACGCACGCGCACACACACACACACACACACGCACACACGCACACACGCACACACGCACACGCACACACACGCACACACGCACGCACGCACACACACACACACACACACACACCACATTCACACTAGGCAATGTGGGTGAAATGTCTTGCCTAAGGACACAGTAACAGGTTTCTGCCACTGCCCACTGTGGCACCTGGTATTTATACCCAGTGATGTCGTATCCAAGTCCAAACCAGGCCCGGTCTGAGATCTGACAAAGGCTTTGACAGAGAGGGTTGGCCACACTTATTGTGAGAAGAGACGTCACATTTTTACAGTTATTCACGATTAGCAACACCAAACAACACTGACGTCCTTCATTCACTTTCATTCACATTGTCTAATAGATCAGCACTCATCTAGTCTGTGAGCGGCTTTATCAGATCATCATCATCATCAAACTTTATTACATACTCTTAGTCCAGAGTTAAAAAAGACACACAACAAGCAAACACACTCCAACACAATATTCACAGCAAACTGCTGTACCCGTGTCTCCACAGATCAGACTGGTACCTCGCAGTACTGAGTTTGCCGTTAGTCAGGCTCATAATAAAACTGTTCTCACAAACACTAATGCGACAGATGAACCTGTACATTAAACAACACATTTCTTCCTGAAATGTTCTGATCCCTGCTGTCAGGTGACTTGCACTTTCCCATCTTGGCCTTTTCAATAAAATCCTTAAGCAGTCATTATACGCCACAGTGAGTTTGTGTGTGCTCGCCCTTTTGTAGTTAGACCACAGGTGTGCCGTATATAATGCACTAGAGTATGCTTTAAAATGTCTCTTTGTCACTTCCACTGTACACACATCACACCTGCATGTGAGCATGTTAGTGCATACAACATGCAACACTGTCTGTAGATGTCCTCATCATCTGACATATCATCTGTGAACAAACTATGAATGAAGACTTACAAAAGTTTTTCAGAAAAAAACTGTGTTTCAACTTCAAATTCTCTTACCCAGTATGATTTATGTTCAGAATTTCACAACCAGTCTACAAGGTCTTACTTTTTATATGACACCTTGTTTGGCCATGTTAGCCATGTATTTGCAATATAATACATATCATCAATATGAATCATTTCGTAATTTCGAGAATAAGGCCCTGGAGCTTAAGAGGTTAAATTGTCACATGTTTTATTTTTTTGTTAAATGACTAGAATAATTGATTAACCTAATAATAGTGACATTATTAAGACATATTTTGTATATTCCTCTCTTATCTCTCAAATTCTGTCTTCACAGGACTGCAGCAATGTAAGAACACAAATCCAACTCTCCAGTTTTAAGAAGATTAATGGACCCCCCATAACTGGACATGTTTCTCTCCTCTTTCTCTCCTCTTCTGGCTCAACCTCCAGCATGACTCTCTTGTCAGCCTTATCCCTCCTGTACCTCCCTTTGGTACTATTCCAAGTATTCATTTTTTGCAAACCCAACTATGAGCGATCTCTGGTCCCTAGCTCCGCCACGCGCCTGGTCGCACGCATGGACGGGGACATTATAATCGGAGCTTTGTTTTCCGTCCACCACCAACCGTCTACGGAAAAAGTGGCTGAACGAAAATGTGGAGAAATTCGTGAGCAGTATGGGATTCAAAGAGTGGAGGCCATGTTTCACACTCTGGACAGGATAAACGCAGATCCAAACCTGCTCCCCAATATCACTCTTGGCTGTGAGATTCGAGATTCTTGCTGGCATTCCTCAGTCGCGTTGGAGCAAAGTATTGAGTTTATCCGAGATTCACTTATATCAATTCGTGATGATAAAGATGGGGTGAGATGGTGTATAGATGGAGATCCGTCAAACCAGCCTCCTCCCACTAAGAAGCCTATTGTGGGAGTGATAGGACCTGGGTCCAGCTCTGTGGCCATCCAAGTTCAAAATCTTCTCCAGCTTTTTAATATTCCACAAATTGCATATTCGGCTACAAGTATCGATCTGAGCGATAAGACTTTATTTAAGTATTTTTTGCGAGTGGTTCCATCAGATACGCTGCAGGCCAGAGCTCTGCTGGACATCGTCAAGAGCCACAACTGGACCTATGTCTCAGCCGTGCACACAGAAGGTAAGAAAATGTGTAAATATTTTTGTAATGTCTCACGAGAGTCATTTTGCATTCTTTTAGTCATGTTATAATGCTGTTTCCTCAACAAAACACACATGGACTTGTCAACAGAATGTTGCCTTTATTTTAAAATGTAGAAATGGGCAAAGTTCAAACTTGACACACACCAACTGAATATAGTAAAAGTCTTTTATTATATGGAGGGACACAAACACATTTTGACCAGCAAGAAGGTCTTCATTAGGGCTTAGAGCACCTGTGCTTCCACCAGAGGTGTCAGACTTGAGTCAGACTTGAGTCATTATTTTTAGGACTTGAGACTTGAGGCCTGTGACTTGAGAAGACTTGAGATGCTTCCGCCAAAAATTTTAATTTTTCAGAAAATACTTTTCTCTGTAGGAACAAACTGGAACATTTCCCTCCCACTTCTCTGTTTGCAACTATGTAACTGTAGTACTGTGATATGGTATCCTCAAATGTACTACAGTAATGTACACTACAGTACAGTAATATACAGTACAACCGAGTAAAACAGAGGGAACTTCATAGATCACGATGCTTCCATTTCAGTGCAGACACACGACAAAATTAACTGTTATGAAACACTTTTAAATTGGAATTCTTTCTGTTCTGACTGTAATGATTCACTCTAAAATCTTGTCAAGACGTTTAAAAAGGAAAAATTTACATTTCTGCAACTGTTATGTAAATACTCATATAGAAATATACCTGGACTTTTTAAGTACAGTTTAGTTTAAAATACATTTTTGGTTTAAAGACCTGAAATGAAGCTCAAAGCAGACGACTTGGACTTGACTTGGACTCGAGACTCGACTTAGACATGCTTGTCTTTGACTTGGGACTTGCCTGGGACTTGAGGTCAAAGACTTGAGACTTACTTGAGATTTGCAAAACAACGACTTGGTCCCACGTCTGGCTGCCATTTTTTATACTTTTGAAGACCCAGTGAAGCGCTCTACCTTTTCTCTTCATCTGATACCTGGAATTGTGTTTTGTTTGGTTAACGCATCTGTAGAGCTCCTCTGTATTTTAAAATTCATACATTGTTATTTAAAGAATGTCACCATGTCATAGGAATGTAAGTAAAAACATGATTCACAATTATTTACAAAATGTATAGAATTCATTAAAGCCTCACCACGTAAAATTAAAGCATATTTTTAATTTTGGTTGTTTTTGTTGAAATGAAAAACATGTGACCTTACTCTGAGTGCGCTTGCATCTCCACAAAACCTGACTTTTACTTGGGCCATGGAAGTGTTGTTCATTGGCTATAATCTTCCAAGTATGGCTTAAAAAACTTATTCATCTTCATGGAAAATTTTCCAAAGTATGATTTAAAGTTTTTATTTCTATGTAATTGTGCAGGGGACATGCCACATCCTGAAAGTTGCACTGTGTTGCTTTAATTTATTGTCAGTAGATCATCAGTCCTCTAGTATGTGAGGTGCAGTTTTTTTTTTTTTTTTTTTTTTTTTTTTTCAAACCTTTGTTTAAAAAAAAAAAAAAAAAAAAAAAAAATCAACCAAAGATATATTCAAAACCATAAAAATACATGTGGCCAAAAATTGTGAATTGATCCGATTATTGTAAATTCTTTCAGTCTTGTCTCATTCTCGTGGACTCTATCTTGCTTATCATGAAAACTCTGTCTCGTGTCGTCCCAACCCTAAAAAACCATCATTCTCATTATTCCCAACAAACAAAACACTACACCTTAAATTGATTCATTTAAGTAAGAACCCTCGGGCTCTGTAATGCAAACTGATCTGTAAATCAATGAGGCCAGAGTCTGTCTTTGGTGGTTAGACCGGACCCTCCTTCCCCTGTAGCTCCCTTAGTCTGATATCGACTCTATCTCACTTTAAATGCATCTAATCTTCACCTTCAATAATCCCCCAGTGATAACAACAACAGGATGCGTTCATGTGGCTTTATCACGGACAAACTGCCCATAGTTTAACACTGAGCAGGAGACAGAATCAGATCAAGTCAGAATCCTTAGGTGGAGTTGTTGTGTAACTGTCAGATGCAGATTTGTTGTGTTGGTTTGTGGTTCATATCTGTGTAATCACTGGGCCTGTCCACATGAAACAAAAACTGACACAAAGTTCAGCGTCTTCTCTGTCAACACTAATGAAATTACTTCACTGTTACCGTATTTCCTGCACTATAGGTGCTCTGGATTATAAGGCGCACTGTCATTGAATGGTCTATTTTTGAACTTTTTTCACATATAAACTGCACCGGACTATAAGACACATTAAACAACACACAACAGTTAGATAAGTCAGTCAAACTTTATTTAACACATTCACAATAACTCTCAACTTTTGTTCAATTGTAACATGTAAAAAAGTACTGTCTGAGACGATAATGATGGAGTTCAGTGATGATTCTGGTCTTGGTGAAAGCTCAGACCACAGTTGATCCTGATCTTTAGCCCGGGCGTCCACGATTCCGTTGGCAGATCGTGGTGTAAGTGGCTCGGCGCTGTCTCTCTGTCTTGGTGAATGTGTGTTCTCCTTCTCTCATCCACTGCTCCCACGCAGCTCGCACTTTCACTTTAGAACAGTCTTGAGTTTAAAGTGGGTGTTGTGAGCGTGTCTCTTGACAGGTGCATTTTGATTTTAAAAGGAATCACAGTCTGTATTACTCCTGATGCTCCTGACTACGGGAGCCGTAATGCTGCAAGTGGAGTGGCTTTGTACTTTACTAAAGTCGTACTAAGACACCAAAATAAATTCATGTATAAGGCGCTCTGGATTATAAGGCGCATGGTCGTTTTTTTGATTAAATTAAAGGCTTTTAAGTGCGCCGTATAGTGTGGAAAATACGGTAAAATGTACAATAAATGAATCCAAATTGTTGTTAAGTTTGCCAAAAGATGATCGCTGCAAGCTTGGGGACCCTAATTACCATAAATGAAAAGGTTCAACGTGTAAACATTTTTAAACGTTTCTTTCTAAAAACAGTGAATCACCCTTACAAACCCCTCCTCGTTCCATCTAAATATATGAAATTAATGCAATTTATTCAATCAACTTCTATTTTCATAGTAAAACTAAGAAAATAGAAGTTTAGAAGTTTCTAAAAGAAATTACAATGTTCCTGTAACTCAGTCCAAGTGGTAAAAGTTTTATGGGAAGTTAAATGAAACAATCAAAATCAATGGTTGTATTGAAGGAGGACAAACCCTAGAATGACAATAATTCATTTTTGTTTTTATCTATTTTATTTATTTATTTATTTTTGTACTGGTTTATTTAGGGATTTTATTATTTTTATGAATTGGTTTTATTTTGTCGTGTCTATAAATGTGCTATACAGATACATTTGGATTGGATAAAATGTGCACTTTGTGACTTTTCTGGCAGAGGGTCCACCACCTGCCCGTCTCCATGGGGATGTGATTGTTTTACCTGGAATGTTCCACAGTACAGCATTAAACTTGTTTACATTTATTCCATTATTTTTATTGCTTAAAAATGCCATGAAAAACATTCCCTCTTAGATACTCTGAGACGCCTCCCCGTAGATCTGACCTGTATCTAGGCCTAGTTTCTTTTCAGCTTTTCCTCACTGTGGAACATTCCAGGCAAAGCAATGGAGACAAACTATGGAGACAATCAGTTGACAGACCCTCCACAAGAAAAGTTACACAATGCAGCTTTAACCTTAACCTTAATGTCTTTCCAAAGTTTCTCCTTGGTTCAGCGGAGAGAAAATGTTCAGTGATTCAGACTAAACTTGAGTTCATTTGGATTCAGAGCAGCTCGGAGCTCGTCTGAGGTCACCCTCCTGTGGCTCTCATTTAAAAGCACTAACTCACAGAACAAAGCCAAGGTTGGCAGCTCCTGTTCTTGAGCAAGACACCTCACCGTCCTTATCGCTAATCTCTATGGTCTTCAGGAGTTAAAGTGGTAGTATGTCACTACAAGTTAAAGCCATACTTTGGAACATTCTCCATGGAGATTGATGCAGTTTATGCCATAATGTGGAAGATTATAGTCAAAGAAACAACATTGCAAGGATCATTTTTACCTACCCCTTATCCCCGCCCACTGCTCTGTAATTATTTCAGACTCTGGGTAGGACAGGGTCTTCCTGCTTGTTTTCATGAAATTGTTGTTCCTTTGGCTATAATACTCCATAGTATGGCACAAAACCATGGAGGATATTCTGAAGTATAGTTTAAACTTTCTATTTCCATGGAATAATGCAGGTGACACAACACTTACTCAAAGTTACATACTGCCAGTGTTGGGAAGGTTACTTTTAAAATGTATTCCCCTACAGATAACAGATTGCATGTCCTAAAATGAAGTTTGTTACATAATCCATTAAATTACTTAAAGTGAGTAATGTAATCTGAATACTTTGGATTACTTGATAGCGTCATGCTTTTTAAAACGACATGAATGTACCAAACACATCCTGCAAACTCTTGTTTATTCAGTATTTACTTAACCAGATTAAAAATATTATTGATAGAGAAATTATTTTTATATGAAATCACTGCTGCCTCGATTATGTCCACCTACTGTTAGTGTCATATTGTTTAGTCCTAGTTTAGTCCTGGTTTTAGACCTGGTTTAGACCTGGTTTAGTCCTGATTTAGACCTGATTTTAGTCCTGGTTTTAGTCCTGGTTTAGTCCTGGTTTTAGTCCTGATTTAGTGCTGGTTTTAATCCTGGTTTAGATCTGGTTTAGACCTGGTTTAGTCCTGGTTTTAGTCCTAGTTTAGTCCTGGTTTTAGTCCTGGTTTAGTCCTGGTTTTAGTCCTGGTTTAGTCCTGGTTTAGTGCTGGCTTTAATCCTGGTTTAGACCTGGTTTAGTCCTGATTTAATCCTGGTTTTAGTCCTAGTTTAGTCCTGGTTTTAGTCCTGTTTTAGTCCTGATTTAGTCCTGGTTTAGAGCTGGTTTAGTCCTGATTTAGTCCTGGTTTTAGTCCTAGTTTATTCCTGGTTTTAGTCCTGGTTTAGTGCTGGTTTAGACCTGGTTTAGTCCTGGTTTAGTCCTGATTTAGTCCTGGTTTTAGTCCTGGTTTAGTCCTGGTTTAGTCCTGGTTTAGTCCTGATTTAGTCCTGGTTTTAGTCCTGGTTTAGTCCTGGTTTAGTGCTGGTTTGGACCTGGTTTAGTCCTAGTTTAGCCTAAAATGTGAAAACAGGAAAATACCGCCATGTAATCCATTTATTTCAGCAAAGTAACTGTAATCCAATTACCACTCACTTAAACAGTAACTGTAACTGAATACAGTTACTCATAATTTGTACTCTGATTACGTAACTCTGGTACATGTAATCTGTTACATTCCAACACTGCACCATTCAAAAAATACCTAATCCTTCTTTCATATTGTCCATGCTTATTTATTGATTTATTTTTGTTCTTTGTTATGTGATATTGTGATCTACTGTGTCCAAGTCATTTCTCTTGTGGATCAATAAAGTTTGTCTCATTTTTTGCCTCTTGTGTGTTCGCAGGTAACTACGGAGAGAGTGGGATGGAGGTGTTTAAGGAGCTGGCTGCTCAGGAGGGCCTCTGCATCGCTCACTCAGATAAAATCTACTCAAACGCTGGAGAGAAACACTTTGACCGCCTGCTGAGGAAGCTGAGGGAGAGACTGCCCAAAGCTCGAGTGGTGGTGTGTTTCTGCGAGGGCATGACTGTACGAGGGCTCCTCATGGCCATGCGCAGACTCGGCATCGCTGGAGAGTTTCTGCTCATCGGGAGGTACGTGGACTGACTTTAAAGGAGATATGATGAATAATCTACTTCTATGAGCTTTTAACTGCAAAAACAGAGCTGGAGTTGTGTTTTGTTTCATTCACACATGTTTGAGTAACTCTTTGTTAGTCTGTCTACATGCTCTGTTCCACCTTGTGATGTCATGAAGTGGTTTCCGAGTTAAATAGCTTCTTTTATCTTTTGTTCAGTAGAGATTGGCAACTGAAAGGTCTGAAATCATCAAAATGATTTTAGTGAAGGTTTATGGTGTTTAAAACTACAGTGGCGCACTTCCTGTATTACCCAGGGTTCCCAGAGTCATGGAAATCTTAGAAAAGTCACTGAAATTGAAAATGTCATTTTACAGGACTGGAAAGGTCATGGAATTTTGTAAATTCAATGAAAGTTTTGGAAAAGTCATGGAATTTTAGTATCTCTTTCACGCAACTCCAGTGTTCTGTTAAGTTCTCATTAGAACATTATGATTATTTCTGAAAATCTGCCCGTTTTGTTTAAAAGAGACAACAATAAATGCACTGACAGGATTTTGAATGTTAAAAACTATAATCCCAAACCATAAGGTGGAAAGAGTTCACATTTCAGATTTAGACCTAAAAGTCTGATCAGTTCTTCACATGTAGGTGCTGTAAAGTCATGGAAAATTCACTTTAGCTCATGAAAAATTCATGGAAAAGTTTTGAAATTTTGTTAGTGAAAAAGAGTGGAAACCTTGATTACCACGTGACATCACAAGGTGGAACAGAATGTTGAATGAAACAAAACACAAAGTCTGGTATGTTTTTGAAAATCGTGTTATAAGAGTGTTCCCTCATCATTCTCTTATCCAGAGTTGGAGGTTCATGTATTTTGAGTCATGTGTATTTATCTGCATTTTAGGCTTGGAAATGTATGTTTTCACGTACCCCCTATCTTTGTCCACCTCCCTCTACTAACTTGCATGTATTAAAATATTATAGTGTCCTCCTAGTCAAACATGTAGGCTTAAAAATATCGTGTCATCATTTTTCTCTCTAAGGTAAGGTTAGTCTTTATTGTCCCTGTATGGAAATGTGTCCTCTGCATTTGGCCCATTCGTCAAAGCTACAAGGGCAACCTGTCAGGAGCAGTGGCACCCATCTCCAGATCTACAGCTAGTCTTGGTCAGGACTAACTTAACCAGAGGATTTGAGCTATTCTGTTTTGTGTTGGGGGAACCCAGAGTGCCCAGCTCTGTTCAGATCTGGTGTGTTCTGTATCAGATCGGATGTGTTCTGTATCAGATTTGGTGTGTTCTGTATCAGATTTAGTGTGTTCTGTATCAGATTGTGTTCTGTATCAGATTTGGTGTGTTCTGTATCAGATCGGGTGTGTTCTGTATCAGATTTGGTGTGTTCTGTATCAGATTTAGTGTGTTCTGTATCAGATCGGTGTGTTCTGTATCAGATCGGGTGTGTTCTGTATCAGATGTGTGTTCTGTATCAGATTTAGTGTGTTCTGTATCAGATCGGGTGTGTTCTGTATCAGATGTGTCTGTATCAGATCGGGTGTTTCTGTATCAGATTGTGTTCTGTATCAGATTTGTGTGTGTATCAGATGGTGTGTTCTGTATCAGATCTGGTGTGTTCTGTATCAGATTTAGTGTGTTCTGTATCAGATCTAGTGTGTTCTGTATCAGATTTAGTGTGTTCTGTATCAGATCGTGTGTATCAGTGTTCTGTATCAGATCGGTGTGTTCTGTATCAGATCGGGTGTGTTCTGTATCAGATTAGTGTTTCTATCAGATCGTGTTTCTGTATCAGTGTTGTATCAGATTTGGTGTGTTCTGTATCAGATCTGGTGTATTCTGTATCAGATTTAGTGTGTTCTGTATCAGATCGGGTGTGTTCTGTATCAGATCGGATGTGTTCTGTATCAGATCTGGTGTGTTCTGTATCAGATCGGGTGTGTTCTGTATCAGATCGGATGTGTTCTGTATCAGATCTAGTGTGTTCTGTATCAGGGCAGAGCTGGTTCAGAGTCTCATGAATAATGCAGCTCTTCTCTGTCAGATCAGGACCTGTAAATGTGGAACAGCCCCTCCAGCAAAAGAACATCAAAGACCCAGGACCTCTCACTGAGAAAGAACAAGAACTATAGACCTGGCTCCCGTGGTTCTGTTCACGACTCAGCACAGAGAGGTTCCGCATCAGATTACGGCTCAACAGCTAGGTTCCATCCACAGTCTCCACTACATGCACGTGCTCTCAGGTGGACGCTCGCCACCTACTTGTCTCCATGGAGATGACATTGCTTTGCTTGGAATGGCATTATCCTTTCCTATTTTGCATCCATTCAAATACAGGTGTTTTTATTGCTCAAAATTCCACAGCAAACATGCATTCTTACTGTGTGCGGGTTCACCTCCACACCTGTGACTTTAAACTTGCCCTTGTGGCATCACTTGATTGTTTCCGTGGAGACTGTTATATTTAATGCCATGCTGTGTACTGTGAAACATTCCGTGCAAAGCAACAACCGAAAACAAGTAAGTGGCGGACTTTCCTCCTTTAGACTGCATTCACATAAATATTTTCTAATAAAATGCAGCATAAACAGTGAATTAAAAATAAAAGTAGAAAATAGAAAAAGGGTATAAATTATAAATAACTGCTATCAGAATACTTCCAAAAATTGCTCATCAGTTGTCACAAATGTAAAATATCCATGTTACATCTTTCATAACCTTAATGTGACCTGTTCAAACCTGAAGGGCGTCTCACCTCCTCAGTGTTTCACATGACAGAGACGGTCCTCGTGGCTGTAGACATGCTGGAGCTCTTCATGTGGCTGACTTCGACTCTGGCTCTGTTCAGCTCTGCTCTGATTCTGTGCGACTGGGGAAAAGTCTTTAAATTATTCATAGACTCAGATTTGCATCATTTCTCTATAGTACTATACTCACCACTGCAGTTCCCTTTCAGCGCACACTCACTCCTGCAGATAATATTCAGGAGATGACACAATAAAGGGCACGATCTACACTGCGAAAAGAAATGTGTTTAAAGGCGCCGCACCTGATTTTTACTGTCTTAAAAACGTGGAAAACAGAACTAGTTCATTTTAAGCGGTTTGCAGTGGTTCAGTTATTCCTCACTTACCTTATGTGTTCTCAAACTCCACCCACAACCCACAGTTCAAATAGGCGAGTTTCAGCTGACGTCATTGTTATTAAAAGCCCGCGTTGCATGCTGGGAAATATTTTGGTCGGAGGCAAGAAACACGGTAGCGTCAAACACAGTGCGTAACCTCGAGTATTTCTCCCCGATAATTGTAAATTCCTGCTGCATTTTCGGATGCACAAATAGAAGCACGGAAGAAGGAAAATGTCTTTTTCGTATTCTGAGTGAAAAGAACCACTAACGGAGAATTAAATGTCTTTCAAACATAGCAAACGTAGAAGATCCTAACAAACCGTGGACTCCAACAAGTTCAACAACACATTGAGACTCTTGGAGGTTTTCATCTTTTCTGCTGTGAATGGCCCAGGAGTTTCCACCAAGTCATTGTGGATATCACCAAAGTGAATATTTGTCCAGGTAGTTGGAGATTCTGACCAGAAATTTGTTTTGGTCCACCTTTTGTCGGGGTTGAAAAAGGTGATTTGGCGTCCGTCGATGCTTATGACCAATTTATGGTCAAATGGTCTTGGGTCCTCTGCTGTTAGAGTGGATAAATAACCGGGATCAATTCAATTTACGTGCTTTCTCACTCCGTCCATCATGTTGAATTAGTGTTTCTTGCCGCCGACCAAAATAATTCCCAGCATGCAACGCGCGCTTTTGTCAACAATGAAACTCGCCTATAAAGCTGCTAAACTGGACAGGACTAAAGGGGAGAGGGGGAGGGGTTAGGAGGGGCGGGTTCTGGACGTATAAGGAACTAACAAGTACCTACACTTCAAACTCCACCCCTTTCAGCCTGGTGTTTGTGTTAGAAACATCTGGCTGTAATCAGGGCAGTTATGTGTGATGTCACGTAGTCAGTGTTGGGGAGTAATAGATTACATGTACCGGCGTTATGTAATCAGAGTACAAATTATGAGTAACTGTATTCGGTTACAGTTACTGTTTCAGTGAGTGGTAATTGGATTACAGTTACTTTGTTGAAATAAATGGATTACATGGCGGTATTTTCCTGTTTTCCTGTTTTCGCATTTTGGGCGATTCCCAACGGAATTGTAAAATAGTGGAAGTTGAAGGTGATGGGCAGGATTGATCCACAGGAAGAACCAAAAAGGAAACATTTGACTGTCTAAATAATCCTGAGTTTGCAGCAAACATTTTGTATGTGGAGCAAAACCCCGATTTCTTGCTCCGTCTTGGTTACGTATTTAAAAAGTCAACGCCAAAGCGAAAGGCACCAACTGTTCACCAAGAAACACCTTCAACTGCAAAGAGACCAAGACGTGATGTTGCTGTAAAACCACAAGAACAAGAAAGTGCAGCTCAGTCTGTTTGTCTTCTGCACCTCTCACTTAACAAATGGGATTTTGCTTTGTCGTCGCTCCACATACAAAATGTTCTCTGCAAACTCGGGATGATTTAGACAGTCAAAGGTTTCCTTTTTGGTTCTTCCTGTGGATCAATCCTGCCCATCGCCTTCACCTTTCACTGTTTTTCAATTCCGTTGGGAAGAGAAACAGTTTGAACAGAGGTTTGAGTCACACACATCTGATTCCCTTTTGCATTTATGGAGTTCGCAAACAAATTTCTCGAACTGTTTTCCGCTGTTAGGATCCAACAACCACACAATTACGATGTCCGAATCCCAAAACTAAAATATGACAATATCAGAACCAGAAACAAAAGTGATATGGTTCAAAAGACTTGAAAAGATCGACTTTGACAATAGACACATCCCATTGGGAAACAAACATGGAGGTTTGATGCTCACTTTTGTGGAAAATCCTTCCCAGTATGAATTGCACAATGACCAGAAGTCTAAAATTCTTGATGCATCTATTCAAGCAAGCTCAACTTTAGTTTTTGTTATTTTTGCAGTGCACCTGAAATCACAGAGGCCCTAAATTTGCACAGTTATTCAAATACCATATACATACTTGATTTAGTGTTTAGTTCCACATTAAATAAACCTTGACCTGGAAAAACAAACAGCTCAACTCATGTCCTTATTTATTTTCTGTTGTAATTTGTTGCGTGCCTGTACAGTGACACAGAGCTGGTGAGGTCTTGTTTTAGCTCCACACCACACTGGGAGGAGCAGAGCAGCAGATGGTCAGGTGCACACTGTCCCTTCACACTGGACACAACCACATTTCTCATTAAGACCGTGGACCTGAGCCAAACCTGGGGCTGGCTCGGCTTTAACCAAAGGTGGACTCTGTTAAAGGATACAGGGATATTTTTGTAACACTAATGATCTGGATTTTGGTTCAGTATTTAGCCACGTGAACCTCTACAACTAAACATATATGTCCATTAGTTTGACCTGGATTTTCTCTTCACTGTTCAAAGGTTTATACAGATTTTTTTTTAATATAATGAGCATTGCCAAAGCTGAGCCATTTGGTGTCACATACAACATACATACACCGTCATTTCTGGACTATTGAGTGCACCTGAATATAAGATGCAACAACTAAATTAAAATAAATAAAAAAAAATAAAAAATTACACATATATAGGCTGCACTTGTCTATAAACTACAGGTGTCCACGTTGTAACTTGAGATATTTACACATAAATATGATACACAGAGAGATAAAAAAAAACAAAAAAACAACAGTATTACAACAGGATTATCAGAGTACATCACTTGGTGCTCTCCTGTGCATGTCTCCTGCAGAAAGAGCCTCAGTCCTGTCTGGTTCATGTCAGTGTCTTGTAGGATTTCAGGAGATTTCAGACTCTCTCGGGGGCGGGGATAGGTGTATGGATCAGGTATGAGTGGATTTCCGGCGACTGAAGTTTAAGACATTTTCTCGTCATTTACTCACTCACCTGATTTAACACATACGGGTCATTAAGACGTATCCCTCTCACTAATGTTCATTTAGCATCATAACTTATTTTATCACACTGTGATAAACTGTTTTTGTGATGACAACGGCACTAACTAGAGTTGCAACTTCATGTGAACTGCACAGACAGCGGTGCTTTCTGCACTCAGGCTGTGGCACATCCCCTTTGTTCATAAACAAATAATCCATTCAAATATTCTCCGTATTGTTGTTTAAGCCGTAGGGTTCAAAGTGTGACAAAAAAGTATCGGCTTATAGTTCAAAAATTGTCCGATCATCAGGAAGTACACGTTGGCATGTTAGTTGTTGTTAGCTTTACCATGAAGGCAAATCCTCAAAATGGCTTCTGAGAATTGTGAAAGCTCTTATAAACTACGGTGAATTATTAGAATGGTCTGAATGCATAAGGTAAGTGAGGATTTACTGCAAACCTTTTAAAATGAATGTTTTTAAGACAGTAATAATCAGGTACAGTAATCAGACAGTAATATTTTTTAGGATTTCCAGTGTTTCCTCTGTAGGAGCCTCTGCATCAGGAGCGGAGGTCGGCTGTGGTCTGCGGGGTCTGTCCCGTGGGCTCCTGGTGGAAGGGTGGTGCTTGGGCTTTAGGTGCTTGGGCTTCATCTCTCCCCTTGACCCTGTGGTGGTCCCTGGTGGTGGTGGACGTCTCTCTGCTCCTGATGTAGACGGCTCCTCTGATGGTGCTTTCTCAACTGGTTCACCTGTATTCAGCCTCACATTTTACTATGTGCGGTCTTATGTATTTTAGCAGGTTAGTGTGTGTGTGAGTGTGTGTGTGCTTGTGTTTGTGCGTCTGTGTGTCTGGGTTGTTTGGTTGTGTGGGGTTGGGGGTGTGGGGGTTGGGTAAGTGGGTGGATGGAAATGTGGGATTGTTTTTAATCACTGTAAAGCACTTTGTGTTACATTTTGTATAAAAAGTGCTTTATAAATAAAGTTTGATTTGATTTGGGGTACAGTCATATTACTGTCATTTTTTTTTTTTTTTTGCCATTTCTGTGCCACAAGATAAACTAACAAAATGGATTATAGAGGTTTGCATTGCCCAAATACTGAACCAAATCCACATCATGAGTGGTACAGAAATATCCATGTATCCCTAAAAATATATGTCCATTAGTTTGACCTGGATTTTCTCTTCACTCTTCAAATGCTTATAATTATGTAGAGACATTTTAACTGGGAGCACTGAGCCAACATTTGAGCCATATTTAGTGACAGTGATAGTGACAGTGATATTTTGATATCTGGTAAACATGTTCCATCTCGTGACAGAGGAATGATTGATTTGGCAAAAACTGAAGGATGGTTCATTATTTCTTATAGGGACAATAAGTAACATGTGACCTACATGATTTACAGTAATAGAACGTTACAACATTTCTTTGGATAAAAGCAAGGCCAAATAAGAGTCAGGTTCTCAGTGCAATAAATACAGACAAAATGAAAAATAACTTTTGTTTTAGTCAATTTTATGGAAAAATGTTACATACTGTGGCTTTAACGGCGAGTACTGTCTTTGAAACTTGGATGCGCCCTCAGTTTAGTGCAGATCTGATCTTAACTTAAAGTCAAGTTATCCACACCAGGACTACATCATGACCAGACTGGGACTAAACCAGGACTAAATCCAGAAGTAAACCTGGACAAGACCAGGACTAAACCAGAATTAGAAAAGAAAGCAGCTCTACATCACGACTAAACCAGTACTAAACCAGGTCGACATTATGACTAAACAAGTAATCCTACTTTACTGAACCAAACCAGGACCAGAGTGAACCTTAAACCCTCTGTCTCTCCTTAGTGACGGCTGGGCAGACCGTGTGGAGGTGGTGGAGGGGTATGAGTTCGAAGCTTTAGGTGGGATCACAGTGAAACTTCATTCTGAAGAAGTCTCCTCCTTCGATGAGTATTTCCTGAAGCTGAAGCTGAGCTCAAACCACAGAAACCCCTGGTTCCCTGAGTTCTGGCAGCACCGGTTCCAGTGCCGTCTGCCCGGACACCCTCTGGAGAATACACACTACAGGAGGAACTGCTCAGGTACACACACACTCCTCATCTCACACAAGAGTGCAAATATTAGCTATGTGAGGTTTAACAGTGTGACCTGTGTGTGCAGTGAATAAAACTGATGTTTAAAGATGTTTTTATGTTGGTGCATTTCTCTGAAAACATGTTACCACATATTACTTGAGCTTTTAACCATGTTATAACATTTACTTGAAGTTGTATTTAGCTTAATTAATTATTGCTTCATTAATCCTGTTTAGTACATCCACTCCCTCTCAGTCTGAGAAATAACTTCCAGGTTTCCCAGGATTGTGACATCAGAGGTAGAAATACAGATGTCAACCTCATTCTTAGCATGTTGGACCATGTTGCTCTTATCAGTTGTGGATTTTATGTTTTTTTTTATATTTATATCCTTTGATTAACAGTTTATCATGAGTACAGGTAGGTGTGGTGATGTGATAAAACAGTGGTTCCTTCTTTGTCTTAAATATCCCCACACTTTGTCTGACACGCTGTAACACAGGCACGCAGCCAAATAAATCAATTAATTAAATTTCTTATTTTAATGCTATTGATGTTGAAATCCTCTAAAACATCCATAAAAATGTAAAATAGTACAGTAAAACATTTTATTCAATTCCACATTCTTTTTAAATCTGAAAGTTTCCAGTCCTTACATAACCTCAGTGTTCCCCACGCCCCTGGATATAAAACAGAATTATAGTAAGATGGTAAAATATTGCAGAAATATCAGAAATAAAGACATAGTTTTAGGAGTGAGTCTTCCTCTAACCGGAGTCTGTGACAGAGCCCAGGGCAGGTCCCAAACGCTCCTAAAAGTGGAGCAGCTCCAGTTAAATTTTGAATGAGACGCCACAGGCCGAGCTCATCCTCAGAGAAGTAACATTTGTCTCATATTGTCCATTTCTGACTCTGGACCAACAGTGGACCCTAAACTCGGTAAATAAAGACTTCTTATACTCACCAAGGAGATAAATACATACATTCATTTTAGCAACACGCATGTTTGGATTTCTTTTCTTTTTTTTTCTTCTTTTTTTTGCATAATTAGTTTATTTTTCTTTCTTTCTTTTTTTTTTTTTAAACAACACTTAAAGGTGTCCTAAGTAACTTTTCTGGTGACTGTCTCTGTGGGGAAAGGTAAATGTAATGCCTCACTGTGGTACATTCTTGGTAAAGCAATAACATCTCCATGGAGACAAGGTGGAAGGACCCACCACCAGAAAAATGACATAGTGCATCTTAATTTAGGGACCACTTATTAATTGCTTCCTTTTTATTATAATTATCTCTTAAAGGGCCCATCTCATGCAAAATCTAACTTTTCACAGTTTTCTACCTTCTAAGAGTGATGTGTGGGCCTTGTAATTGTCGCCCAAGTGCTTTTTAGATTGATTTGGCTTTTTTTTTTTTAACAGCTTGCAGCATATTTCTGCCATCCTCCCACGTGACAACGAACTAAAGCTGCTACAACGATGACGCGGCAGATACACCTATGACACGTTTGATGTAGCAGAAAGAACTTTGCACCCGCCCCCCTCCCCCACCTCCACCCCTCCACCCCGCCTCCACCCACTCACACACTGTCCTGTCTGCACCGTACAGGTCTGCTGTTCTGTGTTGCTTATCTTTATGTTTCACTTCAAACATGCTTTTTGTAACCATGTCCTCATGAAGAAAGTGCGTATTTGGCTGCGATGGCAGGTCGAAATTATTTGTCATGTCGACAGAAGAAGCAAGGCGTGTTAAGTGACTGGAGTTTATTTCTGGGAACACAGACAAAAAGGTCTTCAAGAATATTTTTGTTTGTGAGCGATACTTCACCAAAGATGCTTCAAGAACTACGGCTATTTTAAAACTGGACTTAGAACGAAGCAGAAGCGAAACTTTGGAAAAGGATGCTGTTCCCACGATACCGCTGTCCAGTGATGGTGATCCTAGATCTGTAAGGTTACTGCTAGTAAACCGCTGAAGAGAACTAAAAGCAAACTGTAGTGTTTATTTTTGAAGATTATCCCACATATCATTTCAATCTGCATGTCATCTCCCTTGTTCTACCTGTTTTAGTTTGACAAACATTACGTCGTCCTACGATATTACATTGATACTAACAACAGACTTAGGCCATCATTTTATTCTAGTGAGTCGTCTCCAATGTTTCTGCACGAGAACAAAATGGCGATTACACCTGAGTCATTACGACCTCTGATGTTTAGTGTCGCCTGTACAGATTATGACCACCTCATTTGATCAAACATTATTATAGGATTCAAGTTTGCCCAATTCTGCTTCTGTCTCCCCCTCCCTCCCTGAGATGGCGGAGGAAGGGCGGCTCACTCGTTGCCTACGTCACGTTTGGAGGGCGGAGCCTGTGCTTTCTCAGGGCGGGCGGGGGGAGGAGCAATAGTCGGCCTTTCATAGTTCCTGGTCTGTGACTGTCTCCAAGAAATCAGTAAGATTTCAGAACTATTGTGTAATGGATGTTCCAAAACCCAAATTGTGCTTGTTTATGTGTAGAAGATACAATGTGAAAAGAGTTATTTTGCATGAGATGGGCTTTTTAATTACCTCTTAGTTAACGATTTATATGTGGCCCCCAGACTTGAGTGTTACCCAAATAATACTTTTCTGGCATTCCACCAGTAATTAACATTATTATGACAGGCTTAGTTATATTTTTGCATGAAAAAACTTCAAAAATATAATATTTACTTCCAAGTTTCTTTCTAGTTGGCAGCTCTACCATTATATTATAAGCATGCTCCTATTATTTCTGTAGTTCTTAAGTCAAAAATTACACATTATTTAATTATGAGTCAATTTTGATTAATATTTTTTTATTTTTATATTTTTGTTTTATGATAGAACTCCGGAACGGTGAGTGGCTTCTCTTAAATGAAACAATAGCACTCCTCACTTTGGTAATATAAGTAGAAGTTGACTGATATTAATCTCTCTCTCTCAATATATATATATATTTTGTTGATATTCTTACCCGAAATTAACTCATGTAAGTAATTTTCATGTAAGTTCTCCCTCCTGTCACCTAATCACAACCTCCTACCTTTACTTCTGAACCAATCAAATCTCAAGGCATTTATATACTGTAAATACACTCTCTCTCCCCTTTTTCCTCTGGCCATTTCAGCTACAACTCTTCCACAGCAGCAGAACCATCAGCCTCCTCAGCTTCTCCATCTTCTCTTCACCTCCACCATTGTCCAGGCTGCCCTCAAGATTTGTTTCTGTCCTTTCAAAGTTCATCTATTCAAGTGGCCTTAAGAGTGATTTTATATTTCTTTTCAAATTTAATATCAGTCAACGTCTAATATATGAAGCTATTGGGGTGTTTCCTAAATGTTTTTGACCTTAACAGAGTTCAAATTCTCTACAGTTAAAAACAGCCCAATAACATTTAAGTGAGAGGATAATAAAAGATCAGCATTAACCTGCATGAAGCCACATATTTTATAGAGTTATCAGGACAGATCTGGTTTGGTTTAGACCTGCTTCAGTCCATTTTAGACCTGGTTAAGTTTTGTTTTAATCCACAGCCATGTATTTAAATCACATATTCAGGTATCTGCCATAGACACATTTTAAACATTCAGTCTTTAATTAGCGTTTGTTTGGTCCTGATTCAGTCCCAGTTTAGACCTGGTTTAAATCCTGCTTAAGTCCTGGTTGTACAATTCAAGTTTAATTCATGTAACTTTTCTAGTGGGGGGTGTTTTTTCTCAGAAATACCTTGAAAAACATTTACTGTGAGGGGGCTTGCTTCTCCACAGCTCTGACCTGTATAGATAAATCAGTGGAACATTACAGCCCCATCTCATTACAGTCTGGTGGCGGACCCCTTACCAGAAAAGTTACCGTACATAACACTGAACCTTTTAATGAATCAAATGTGGAAGTTTAAAAGCGTTTATAATAATGTTTTTATTTTAGAAACTTTTTTATTTCATTTGTGAGGGTTTGCTGTGAGCTGAAGTGACCCTTAGGTTGGTGCTCACTGCTTTAGAGTCTCATCATTAGTTTTTTTAAACCTGAAAATCACCTGGAAAGACCTGACAATATCTTTACTCTTCTATTATGTGATAAAATTATGGGTTTATCAGCGACTACACCACAGTGCACTTAAACCACATCAAATATTAAACAGGCTGCAGCTATTTCAGGTGAAGGTAAAACAGAGGCTCCTCTCATTTATTTTATTAGTCAAAACACTGACTAACTTAAGACTGTTGAGCTCTGGGCAAATGTGTTCCGCTCTCCTTTTTTTTAAAAAATGCAGTTTCAGTAAAGTTAAGAAAGCGTGTTTTTCAGGAGACATGCAAATTCCTCGTCTATGAGCATGTTATCATGATTTCCAAATCATTAGCACACTCACAGTTGTATTTTGATAGATTCATGCATGTTTGAGTAATCAGGTGTTGTCCTTCATTTGAACTTTAGGTAGGCTAATCAGAAAATGACTCACTTACCCCCTATCCCCGCCCACGTCCCTGCACTTATTTACAATTGTTAAAAAAAAGTGTATTTTCATGTGAGTGGCCCCACCACTTCAGAGTTGCATTTTATAGTAGTAAGCATCAGATTTACATGTTTTTATAGTAGTTAAAAAAGAAAACTGCATGGAAAGGTATAAAAGAATAGAGCAGTGAGCGGAGATTGGGGGTATTTGAAAGCAGACTTTTTTCTAAACATTCAAATCTCAAATGCAGGACAATATAGAGTTACTCAAACATGCATGAATCACTCAAAATACAACCATTTCACAAACTGTCCCTCTAACCTGGCCCCGTCTCCTCTGTGCACAGGGTATGAGAGTCTGGTGGATAACTACGTTCAGGACAGTAAAATGGGCTTCGTGATAAACGCCATCTACGCCATGGCCCACGGTCTGCAGGACATGCACGAGGAGCTGTGCCCGGGCCAGAGGGGGCTGTGCCAGGCCATGGAGCCCGTGGACGGCAGCCTCCTCCTGGACTTCCTCCTCCGCACCTCCTTCAGGGGCGTGTCCGGAGAAGACGTGTGGTTTGACGATAACGGGGACACTCCAGGAAGGTAAAACAACTCATCAGTAAAGGTGCACCATGTCACTTTTTGGTTGGGGGTTTGTCACCTGCTTGTGTCTTTGGAGATGTCATTGCTCTGCCTGGAATGTTCCACTGTCTGACTTTAAACAGCTCTACCCTACATATAATCAATTACAAGTCATTTTATAGCTCAAAAATACCTTTAACTTCTTGGGTTTTTTTCAAAGACAATACAGTAAAGTGCATTTACCTTGTTGACATGGTTCGGCTGCTAGCTGCAAGCTGATGGACCTGGCAGGTCGCTCAGGCTGACCACACCTACAGGAAGTAACAACAGCTCATATACGACACGTCACCACCAACACCGGTGACAGTTCTGAAGATGCTTGCAGCAGAAGTCGAAACATGTCAATGAGGTAAATACACTTTACTGTATTGTCTTTGAAAAGAACCCAAGAAGTTAAAGTACATAAGAAGACAAAATGAACATCTTTGGCACAAAAATACCTAAAAAAACAGGCTTTGTGACTGTGAGTGGGGTTGCCTCTCCACAGATCTGACCTCCAGACAAAGCAACAACATTTCCATGGAGAAAAGCATTTGATGGACCCTCCACCAGAAGTTACACAATGTTACAGTATCTCACATGTAACTAGGGCTGTGAAATTAAACACTCGTATGTGATTTTTTCCCCCCCATCTTATCTGAGGAAAATGCATCTTGCCCCTGTGCAGATATATTGTATAAGCAGCTCTTGGGGTCAGATTGAATTCCCTGTGTGCTGTTTGCATTTTATTGTCTGATAAGCAGGAAGTATTGGTTAGTATGCAGACTGTCTCTTAAAGTTTTGAAAAGCTCTTATAAACTCATCCTGGTGAATAATTAGAATGCTCAGAATGCATAAGGTAAGTGAGGAAGAACCTTGGACCACTGTAAACTAGTTCTGTTTCTCACATTTTTAGAAAAAAATAAATCAGTTTCAACACCTTTAAAGATGCATTCTGTAACTTTTCTGGATTAGGGAATGCCAACTTTTTATGTCCTTAGAGATACTTTGCCATAAATTTCCACAGCACGACATTAGGGTTGTCGAAAATAAGATACTGACACTGATCAATACTAATACTATTATCAAAACTAGAGACTCATTTGAGCAGGTTTTTATTCTAAATAATGACCTCTTCTGAATGTCTTTAGAATCTTGATTTTGAGCTGTATCAGAACAAGTATAAGCACATAGACTAGTATAGAATGTAAGATGATATAAAAGAAAACACCTTATTTTTCGGACTAGTCACTTTGGAGTATAAGTCGCAACCCTTGTATTAATAACAATAAAAGAGAGAACAACAGACTGTTAACGTCACATATGAACAGTTCTTCAGATAAACTATAACATAAACAACAGAACAGAACAAGTTTAACAAACTCTCCATCTCACTCCAAATCACTAAATCCATTCAATTCTTCATTCTCCTCGGTGTCACTGAACAACTCTGCCTCGACCTCTGGAGGTAAACAGAGCGCCGCTTCCTCTTCTGTGTCGCTGTCGTCAGACTCAGCATCAGTTCCAGTTAGAATTATTCAGGTCTTTCTGAATCCCGACAGGATGGTTTCAGTGTCACTGAAGTCCAGGCTTTGTCCATCATCCAGTGACTTCAGGAAAGTTTCATGGTGCATCTTCCCGATGTCACAAGTTTCTCTCTCACTCCAAACTTTCTTTCTGCTGCTCGATTATTGTTTTCAGCTGCAGATTTCACGACTTGCAGTTTGTAATCTGCAAAATCAGATTTTGTTTTTGGGGGCATTTGTGTTCAGTCTTCTCAGTCTGTCTTTATAAGTTTGTTTAAATGTTAAATGTTCAGTGGTGCAGAAGTAATGGTGCGATCGACTGACATGATACAGACAGAACAGAGGCTCTTTCTGCAGGAGACACTCACACACAAAACTAGAACCTCTCCACGCTTCAGTGTCAACATTTTAATATATAAGTCACATCGGAATATAAGTCACAGGAAACACACAAACCATGAAAAAAGTGAGATTTATAGTCCAAAAAATACGGCACTATTATTTAATGTTAAAAATCACATTCTATTCTCTGTCATTGTGGTGTCAGAATCAGTTTTGAGTGTTGAGTCTATTCTTTAGTATCGAAACTGAAATAACATTTTGGTAATGGCATCTTTTTGAACAATAAAAACATCCATCACTGAATCCACCTTATTCCGGAAGCTAACGTGGACGCCTTAATCAACAATGCTGATCTTGACAGCAAATACATTAAATGTGGACAATAAAGCCACAAAAAATGCTGTTTTGGAGTATTTAGAGACAAAAGTGGGCAGGGCAGGGCTGAATAAGTTGGATAAATGTAAGATAGACAGGTTTAGTTCTATATTATGGTACAGAAACATAATACATTTTAAAAACTAGAATGTCACAGCTGCCACCAAACCCCATTTTGACAGTTTTAAACCAGACACTTTGATCGGTGAGCTCATCTCTTTCCCTCCCATCACTGTAAAAGAATGAACTAGAAAAGTGACATTAATATTCTGTGTCAGTTCTGTGGTTTCTGGATTTTGTTCAATATAAATAAAAATTCCAGGCGGATTTCTGTACTTCCTGTTTTGACCTTCACAGATGACAGTTTGTTTTTAAGCCTTTTATCAGAGAGGAATACCAATAACAGCTGAAAGAGAAAATACTAAAGACTACACCAGCACTGACTGTAATTTCTAAAACAGATGCTCCTTTATGCATTATTCAGACTTTTTATATGACTTGTGGTGTTTTATCCTTGATTTTTCTTCATGTAGTGTGTGGCTTGTGAAAAGTGTGATTTAAATAAACTCCACTTAATTACTTTTCATTTACTAACTAAGAATTAGAAGTTCAGGTTTAGTCTCTGTTTTGATGTGGTGTGTGTCAGTAAATATGTCTTCTGTACCCTGTTATGTCCTGTTTTAGGTCCTGTCCAGCTTTAGTCTTGGCTTAGTCCTGGTTTACTTCTGGTTTTGTCCTGCTTTAGTCCTGCTTTAGTCCCTGTTTTGATGTATTGTGCTCTTTCCTTCCCGTCTTGTGTTGTAGGTATGAGATAATGAACTTCCAGCAGCTGGAGTCTGGGGTGTATGATTACATAAACATTGGGTCGTGGCACGAGGGCGCTCTGAGTCTGGACGATGACACGGTGATAAACCGCAGTGAGCAGGTCCGGTCTGTGTGCAGTGAGCCCTGCTCCAGAGGAGAGATCAAGGTAACACACAGGATAAGACTTAGATCAGACTGTTCCGATTACACACAGAGGAAACAGCACCATTCGACAAACCTGCATTATTCACATCATGAATAAAATACCAAATACCAAAAGCATTCTTAAATCATTTTAAATCATTTTGTTGCCCCCTGGCTTCCTTCTGAATTGGCCTGAATCATCGTAGACAGTACTTTTTACTACAAATGTGAGTAAGCCATTATAACGTCACATAACTTTGCAGTGCCCATACCATTAACTACATGATAAATAATGTTTCAAGCCTTTTTAAGGCTCTGTGAAAACTGTGTAAAATTACTCACTGTATTACAATAACACCAGTCTGGTGTTGTTGGTCTATGGAGGTACATTTGTTCCAAAACGTTTGAATGTGTAAATGTTGATTTATACACTTGTACACTAAAAGAAACATTGGTTTGGAGCAGAGTTAAAAGGAAGAAATGAGGCAAATGTGTGTATGAAACAGCAACGACTGAAAGTCTGTATTCATTCTGTTCAGGAAAGTCAAAGTGAAAGACGTTGTTATTTGTTTTAGTAAAACTAAATAATGGGAATATAACAGCAAACAACAATGAACAATGATGAGCCAGACTCATCCCTGCTGAACTTCACACATCAGACAAGATCAGGTGGTACGACTGCGATATGTAAATTCACTCACCCAACACAACATTATGTGAACAAAACTGATTTTTTTTTTATTGTAATTACTGTATATTTCATTTATATATGCAGTATATTTAATATGTTTTCAAGTTAAATATTTGTTTGCAGTAAAATGTGTTCTTTTCCAATGTTGCATTCCGGAATGTTGCATGTTGCATGGATCTCCATGGAGATCTGCCGTCTCCATGGAGATCTGCCGTCTCCATGGAGATTCTGTGGAACATCACTGGACTTTGTGACATCACAGTTTGTCTTGTGTAAGTTGGGAGATCAGCTCAGATTTCTTCACTTCGAACCAAACCTTTGTAGAAGACACATCTCAGAACGAGACACTTCAGCAAACACTTTACTCTGTCGACCGCCATGTCCGCACACATCTCCCTCATGTCGACCAACGGCTCCATGCCCCCCTTCAAACGTCTGTACAGCCTGGCACAGGGCCTGGGTTTGCCCGTCAAATTCATCGAGTCCACCACGGCGCCTCACCCCCGCCCCGTCTTCACCGTCCGAGCTTCGGTCGGGCCCTTCTGGGCAGAAACGCAAGGTCCCAACAAGAGAGAGGTGAAGACCAGGGCCTGTGTCATGGTGACAAACATAGTGGAGACGTATCAGAGGAACCACAGTGGCGCTTATGGCTACAGCTACACCAACAGCTACGCCCACCTCCCGCCCCACTGCCATCCAGACTTTGGTCTGAACAAAGACCCCTGCACTCGCCTGTCCGAGCTGCTCATGGCCCGCAAACACCCGCCCGCCCAGTACCGCCTGCTGGAGGGCGCGGTGACCCACACCCACTGGACCTTCTCCATGGAGGTGTCCGTGGACCAGCACACTGCGGTGGGCAAAGGGGGCTCCAAGAAGGAGGCCAGGAGGAGAGCGGCTGCAGTTCTGCTCCAGATGATGGGATACACAGTCCCAGAGGAGGAGCTGATCCCACCTGCTCCTCACCCCACAGCTGAACCTGCTCCTCAAACCTCAGCTGAACCTGCTCCTCAACCAGAGAACACTCTGGAGGAGCAGACCAGAGCTCTGCCTGCTCACATCTCTCCGGACTTCGGTCTGGAGAAGGATCCCACCACGCGCCTGTCTGAGCTGCAGATGATCCGCAGACAGAAGGTCGCTGAGTACCGCCTGGTGAGTGGGGAGCTGGTGAACAGCAGCTGGGTGTTCACTATGGAGGTGACCCTGGACCAGTTCACCGCCTCTGGCTCTGGACACACAAAGAAGGAGGCCAAGAGGAACGCGTCCACCTCACTGCTCCTCTTGATGGGCTTTAAAGTCCCAGACAAGGACCTTCCCCTGGAGAAACCTGAGGAATTCACTTCAGAGGAGTATTCAGAGGGCCAGTCCCTTCAAACAGCTTCAGTGAGCACAGAAGACACAGAGACACAGACGTCAGGAGAACGCTGTGAGACACTTTCAGATGTGAGCGTGAGTCCAGAGGCTCCACAGGAAACTCCAGACCAGGAGAACCAAGAGGAGAGCCACATTCCACAAACCACAGCTCAGGACAATCAGGAGGAGCAGCCACTGAACAGCTCAGACAGTGATGATGTGTCAGAAGAGACATCAGAAGAGAGCCACAGACACAGCTCTCATGAACCTGCCGAAGAGGCTCAGGTTTTTATAAACCCTGAGCCTGTTTCAAGTGACTGCTCCGAGGAACGCCAAACTCTGGGTGAGTTCCACAAAAGTTCAGTGGAAACTCAAACTGAGACCCAGGATCAAAAGGAGTCAGAGACACTAGAGACTCCAGAGGATACAGAGAGTCCAATGCAGGTTCAGATCCTGGAAGTATCAAAGGAGACCCAATGTCTGGACAACTCCAAGAGTCCAGAGGAGGATCAAAAACCAGAGGAGGCAGAGACTGCAGATGATGCAGAGAGTCCAACACCAGGAGAAACTGGACTCGAACAACAAAGTCCTGAGGAAGAGGAGATTCTCAGTATGTTTGACAACAGTTCAACTCCTGAAAATAACCAGACTCCAGAGCAGCTGGACATCAGCTCTGTGGAAGACCTCAGTCCAAGTGAGACACAAATTCAAGAAGACCAAACCCCTGAGAACACAGAGACACTGATGGAGGTCCAAAATCACCTCCAAACTGCAGACGAGACAAACCCAGAGGAGGTGCAGTTCCACACAGCAGAGAACATAACAGTAGAAGAAGAGTGTGAGAAGTTGGAGCCAGAAAGTCCAGCCTCAGCTCCAGAGCCCCCTGCAGCTCCTCAGGCCTCACAGACCCTGGGCTCAGTGGAAAGCCTGGTGATCCACGCTCTGGTGACAAAAACTGCTACAAAAGCTGCCCTCCAAAATGAGGTCCCACCACGATGCTTTAGTGCAGATTCTGGAGAAGGCTCTGGACCAGTTTATTGTCCCAGCTGAAGTTCACATCAAACCCAAAAACATCAAGAAGCTGGGCAAAGCTGGAGCCAGAGACCTGATCCATGAATACGGCTCTGCCTCCAAGCTCCTGGTCATGGCTCTGGGACCGGATCCCACAGACTTCCAGAAGGACGCCATGAAACATCTGAACTTTCATCTCAGCGCCTTCAGGAACCGGCCCAGAACTGTTCTGGCTCGGCTCTTTCCACAGTGGGACAAGCCCAAGAAGAGGGTCTGTTAGACAGCGCCCCCTGTGTCCTTTAAGAGTCACTCGTGTGGTAGAGAGGGGTCAAAGGTCGCTGGACACTTTTGAAATTGAGATGTTTCATTTCCATCCAGAGCTCATTTTAAGAGTCAAAACGCTGAATGGAAGTTGAAGTGTTTCCATTTCAAAAACTGTTCAGATGAAACCTGCGACTCCTTTTCTCCCACGAAACCAAACGAGGATCACACCGACTCACAGAGACACAACGCAACAAGTCTAATGATTAAAAAAAGAAATAAACATTTCCCCTCCCCCTAAATATTGTTATGTTTCTTGTGTTTCTCTGTTATGTTATGTCTTTTTCTCTCTAAAAGCAGCACTGTGTAACATTTCTGTAGAGGCACATCACCTGCATGCATGCTTTTTTTTTTTTTTTTTAGCAAAAATGTATTTAAAAAAAAATGTATTACATCAATTAATCACAATATTGAATTTTTATTTTATTTTTAAATTCACCCTATGCACATGTACAGCCTTGGAAACATTATAATCCTCTTTGTTTATCTGTTGACGTGAGCTCCAGGAGGTTACCAACATGATTTTGAAAAAGGATTATGTGAAGTATAAACATCTTGAGGAGGTAACAGTGCTCCAAGAGACTGAAGGCAGAACAGACTCAAAACAAACACTAACTGAAATGGAGGACCGATATATAGCTCCAAAAAAAAAAGAAACAAATCTGATCAAAGTTATAATGTTGTTTTCTTATCACAAACAAAGCTGCAGGTACAGAGAGAGGGGCCATAATATTCTCATGTAAGTCAGTTGAAGCCAGGGTCAGTAGAAGCCTGAAGAGCCACACTCGAATTTCCTATTTGATAAGTGGTTGCTTGTGCGTTAGCCTTGTCCATTTCTATACACTGTCTATGGGATTTCTGCACAAGCTCAAAGGAACTCAAATTTTACAACAACATGACTTTTTTAAGATTCTCTGTCAAACATAAATCTTACAAAAGTCGCTTGAGTGTGGCTGATGTTTGACCTGCATGTTTTGATCAGGCTGAGGAAACATGATTTTGTTTCATTTGTGGTGAAGCTCCTCCCTTGAGAATTCCCCAAAATATTGTGAGGGAAAATTCCAATGTAGCAGGACACAGGACAATTCCAGAAGCAGAGGACACTGCAGTGTGCGTCCTGGAGCACCGTGAGAGCTCATCTGGAGGGAAAACTTTTCATCCTTGTCATTGTAAACACGTTTGTGTTTGCATTTGAAATGAGAGTTTGTGTAAGGGCTGTTTGCATGAAACTAAGTGTTATCTACAGGTCTACAGGTCGATTTTTTACAACATATTTTGTAATGAAAAAGTGTCATCACTTGTGTCTACAGTGTGTGTGGCAATGTTGTACTGCCCTACCTGTTACCCAATGCATGTTGGGAAAGTCTGCTCTGAACTGTTCCATTACTCTATTACAGAGGAATAAGTTCTATCAGTACATGTAAGTGTGTACAGCACAGAGCAGATCGTCGTATTGTAATCATGTCTTATTCTTGTCTCTACAGACCCACACCAGTGCTTCATGAGTGGAATAAGTCTTGATAGTGTCCAGCTCCAAACAGACCGTGTGTCTCTGGACCTGAGCTGTTTGATTCATTTAAGACAATACAAAAAAGTGTGGAAAACCAAAGAGCGCTCCTGTGTACTTGTTTTTATTTAAAACCTTTAAGAACATTTGATGTTGCATATAAGCCTAGATGAAGTTGTGCAGACTGAATTAAATCATAAAAAACAAAATAATAATAAATATAAGGTTCATTTTCATGATTAGATACGATAAAATAAATATGTGTACTCAGCATGATTTAACCACACTTCATTCACTTGAGAAAGTGACGTTTGTGTTCTGAGATAATTATACATAGAGGGGACATTTCAAAGTCTAAACATAAGTTTTCTTGCACACAGCCACTTTCCATATTATTTTTACCCATATCCAGTGACTTTTTTTTTCAGTGTATAATGCTCTATAACCTAAACGTTTTGGAAGAAATGTACCTTCAGAGTGGTCCTCCACATGCTTTATGTTTCAGTATTTGTGGAAAAAAACAAAAACAACTTTGTACAGTCCTGGTCTGATCCATCTGTTCCTCCAGTGTGTGATTAACTTCAGGAAATCAAACATGTGACATAAACAGAAAGATAAAACTGTATTTTCTGATGTGACTTAGCCTTGTGTTCAAATGTAAAAGAGAAAGTGATCTACATAAACACATGTTCATACTCTTCATTAAAAAGTAGTTATGTAGTTTGTCCAGAAGGTTTTAAGATGTCAGAATAATGCACACAGTCTACACCTGAATCTAAAGATGTGAGCGCTGGACCAGTCCCCCTGTGGTCTGTGGAACTAAACATGAGGGCAGCTCCCTCACACAGCAGCATATTGTTCCCACACTTTAAACATGAAATAAACATGTGACACACATGGAATCTGTGCTCGAAAAGGATCAATAATACAAGAGCAGCAGAAGAGAAGAGCAAAGCCCCTTTCTGACTCTTCAATAATAAAACACGGGTTTCCTTTAGTATAGAGGTCTTCAACGTTTTTCAGGCCAGGGACCCCCAAGATGATGGAGCAGGGACCCCCGACTATATATATGGAATACAATTGTGTTTTATATGATATATCAATTAAAATAATAAATGAATTTTACGTGATTATATTATATTATATTACATTTAGCATGATATGTGTTTTATATGAAACTGTTCTGTTTCAGGTGATCAGAAAAGGGGAGGTGAGCTGCTGCTGGATCTGTACTCCCTGTAAAGACAATGAGTTTGTGCAGGATGAGTTCACGTGTAAAGCCTGTGAGCTCGGCTGGTGGCCCAACGAACTACTGGAAGGTAACTGTCTTTATCCTGTCTTTCTTCTGTCTTTATTCAGTACAGACTGTGTGCACAGTGTCCTCTGTCATCCTCTACTAGTCTATGTGCTCTTCTACTTGTGTTACCCTCCCAGACCTCCAGTTCTGTGACTTGTTTTGTGTGTTTCAATTTCTTATTGTTCACCTGGAATCCTGCTGTGAGAACCCTGGTCCCTGATTGGTGAATTACCTCCACCTTCCTCTCCCTCACTCCTGTGACTCACATTCTCTCTCTCTCTTTCTCACCTGTTCCATACTTTCTCTCCTCTCGCCCTATTTCCCCTCTCTCCCTTCCTCTTCTCTCTCTCTCTCTCACCCGCACTTCTGTCTCTCACCTCTTCTGGACTCTCTTCCTATTTCCTCTCTTTCCTTCCACTCGCTTGTCTCACTCCATGCCTTTCCCTCTTTTTTACTCTCTTTCTCTCTCACCCTCGTTCCTGTCTCTCACGTTCACCTCTTCTGTCCTCTCTTCCTCTTTCCTTTCTCCTTCTTTTTCTTTCACTCTCTCCCCCTCTTCTCTCACCACACCACCACAACACCACACCTCTCTCCCTCTTCTTTGCCCTTCCTCTCCCTCGTGGCTCACATTCTTTCTCTCTCTTTCACCTGTTCCACACTCTCTCTCCTTTCGCCCTATTTCCTCTCTCTCCTTCTTCCAGTTTCTCTTCTCTCCCTCTTTTTTGCCCTCTCTCTCTCTCTCTCTCTCTCACCTTTCCTGTCCTCTCTTCCTATTTCCTCTCTTTCCTTCCCTCTCTCTCAGTCACCCTTCATCTCCCTCTCTTCGGTGACTCAGAACCTTCTCTCTCTTTCTCTCTCTCTCTCGCCTCTCATCCTATTTCCTCTCTTTCCTTTCCCCTTTCTTCTTTTACCCTCCGTCTCCCTCGCTCCTGTGGTTCAGATCCTCTCTCTCTCTCTCTCTCTGTCTCTTTCACCTGTTCCACACTCCCTCTCCTCTCGCCCTATTTCCTCTCTTTCCTTCCCTCTCTCTCTCTCTCTTTTACTCTCCGTCTCCCTCGCTCCTGTGGCTCCTCAGCTCCATTCATCATCTTCAAATCTTTGGCCCATTTTACAAACGCTCTGCTGCGATTTCAAAGACACGCACTTGTGGGAAAGTCACGCCACCACCACATAAGAACAAGAAAAAAAAAAAAAAAAGGTACATCATGTAACTTTTCAGATGAAGGATACATCACTTGCTTCTACATCCTACATTACTTTTTGGGCGAAGTGTTCTTTAGTATGGCATTAAACTCATCTTTCTCCGTAGAAAATAGCGACAGAAAAAACAAAAAAAACATCTTCACGGCTCACCTTTCTCCAGAAAAGTTCCATGATGCATCTTTAAAGTAGTTCTGACAGATGAAGGTCATTTAAAAACCATCGAGCAGGAGGATTTCGCTGTATTCTTGCTCCACAAACTGAATCTGAATCCCACACTAGTTGAACTGAGTATAAATGTTTTTGATGTTTTTGTCCTTAGAACATTTCATAATAAGTATTGATAATTGTAATTGATTGTTTTTTCCGTACTGTGTCGTTTAAGCCCCATTAGCGGCGCGTCTGTCCCTCTGCAGTGGCCCCTCCTCTGACTACGGCCACGACTCAGAAAAGGGGATATTTATAGTTGTGCTGAAAACCTACTTTACACTTAGAGGCTCACATTTATTTGATGATTTTGTCTCTCAGTGAAGATCTAAAACCACTTCCACCTTCCACCTGTTCATTTACAGTAATTACTCCAGCTTCTGCATGGGCATGGGACAATACAGACGATTATCATGGCCAAAAGAATTGTGATTAACAATGATATCATGATAATAATGCTAATAAAACTTAATGACGGTTTAAACATGTTATGGATATGAATAATGATGAATATTATGAATAGGTTCCATATTTATACAACTGTTTAAATGTTGTACTTTGTTATAACCAGTGTTGCCACTAACGCACTACTTAGTACCACGTTACTGTAGTCCGACTACTTTTTTCAGTAACAAGTGTCTAACGCAGTCCTATTTCTAAACCAGTAATCAGATTTAAGTTACTTATCTACAGTGTTGGGGAGTAACAGATTACATGTACCAGTGTTACGTAATCAGAGTACAAATTATGAGTAACTATATTCAGTTACAGTTACTGTTTCAGTGAACTGGATTACATGTCGGTATTTTCCACAACAATAAGCGCGATGTAAACGTCTTGTTAATTTTGGTGGTGTCAGTCACTCATTGGACGAGGTCGTTAATAATCGTCGTTGTTAATAATCTGATTCTGCATAATTTTGTGTAAAAAACATCAAATATCACAGATTTTTACTGGACTGGCACCTTTATGTTTGTACTGAAAGTTTTTTTTTTTTTTTTTTTAATAAACAATATGACACTAACAGTAGGTGCACATAATTTAAAGCAGCAGTGATTTCATATAGAAATCATTTCTCTATCAATAATATTTTTAATACGGTTAAGGAAAGACTGGGCTTTGTATTTTCTTTTAAAAGACAAAACATCTTATGTTAAGATTTCCTCGTCTTTGCTTCTCTACAGTAAACAAAAGTCTGTTCATGGAGACTTGGGGTCAAGAACCAGTTTGAAGAGAACAAACATTAATTTTCAGGATGTGGTCGCTACACTTGTAGTTTTAAAAAGCATGACAATATCAACTAATCCAAAGTGTTCAGATTACATTACTCACTTTAAGTAACTTAATGGATTCCATTACAAACTACATTTTGGGGTATGTAATCTGTAATCTGTAGGGGAATACATTTTAAAAGTCACCTTCCCTACACTGTTTATCTAATACACTGTGCGTTACTATTTTGGGGTTTCAGGGCGACGTAGGTTATTTATTTATTTTTATTTTTTGGCGACGTGGGTTAAGTGACCCCAAAGATCGTATAAATTGTCTCTGGTGAAACATTTCCTATGATGTTACATCATCTCCACTCCGCCGCCAGTCAGATGTGAACACTGGAGGGAGAGAGGTACGACTTTTGCAGCTGGAAATACAAACATTATTTTAATTTTATTTCAGCTAAGGATGGCAACATAAAGGCTGGTTGTTCACTCTGTGCTGGAGACAAAGTGACTTCAAGAAAACAACATCAAACCTAAAGAAACATCTAGAGACACAGCACGGCACAACCACGATAACAGAGCAGCAAGAAAACAGTAACATAAAGTAACTTGTAATCTAACTTAGTTACTTTTAAAAGCAAGTAGTCAGTAACTTAACTAAGTTATTTATTAAAGAGTAGTCAGATTACTATTTCAAAGTAACTATGGCAACACTAGATATAAGTGAAAATAACAGTGATCTAGAAGTGTCTTTTTTCTGCCCATTCTGGTGATTTATGATTTGAGATTCTCACGATTGTGTAAACTGTCCCAGGATGATGACTGTCTGTCCTTTTTAAGACAGTAAATGATATTATTGTTTATTGTCCCGTCCTTACCTCTTCATGTACACTCTAACGAGTCCCCGTGCCTCTGATTGACAAACACTGGATTAAGTTCAGTTGACGTTCATACACATTGGTAGATTTGTTTTGTGTGAATTATCAGATTTGGAGTCAAAACACAAACATGACAAGAAATGACAGAGTAAAAGGTCATATGAGGCTATTTTCAGATCTCTGTTCTAATGTCATTTCCTCATCACACACAGACCTGCAGTTGTGTTTTGTTTCACTCACATGTTTAACACACAAACCCTGCACATTTTGTTCTTCTCTCAAATTGAAAGCACTCTGTTCCACCTTGTGATGTCATGTGGTCATATAGGAACTCCACACATCTTCACTAGAATCATTTGGATAGTTTCATCCCTGGAGTTGCCAGTCTCTACTGAACTAAAGGGAAAAGGAGCTGTTCACTTTGAAAACTACCACAACATGACATCACAAGGTGGAGCAGAGCATTCTGAGTTTTAGGGATGTAGACAGGCTAATAATAAAGGGTTACTGTATTTTCCGGTTGCACCAGCCAAAAAATGTGTAATGAAGATGAATAAAACATATATAAGTTGCACTTTTTGGGGAAGCTTATTTTATAACATCAGAAAACAGGAACCGACATTTCCTGTGTAAAGTCAAGTTCTAGTAACAACAATAGAAGAGAGAACAACAGACTGTTAACGTCACATATGAACAGTTCTTCAGATAAACTATAAGTAAGTAAGTAAGTCTTTATTTATATAGCGCTTTCACAGACATTTTCTGTCCCCAAAGACAGAGCATTATTCAGCATTATTCATTCAGCATTCATTCATACAGCATTATTCATTCACTCTATACCTGGTGATGGTAAACTGCTGTTGTACCCACAGCTGCCCTGGGGCAGACTGACAGAAGCACAGATGCCATGACACTCGGCGCCATCGGTCCCTCCGACCACCACCATCACTCACACTCACACACGCACACACACATACACACATACACACATACACACACACACACACACACACACACACACACACACACACCACTTTCATACTAGGCAATGAGGTTGAAGTGTCTTGCCTGAGGACACAATGACTGAATTGATTGTATTTAACTGATCTTGACTATCAACTGTTCATGGAGACCTGTATAATGTTTTGGCATGAGTGCTAGCCACTCGGCCACCGTGCCGTTTATAACATAAACAACAGAACAGATCAAGTTTACCAAACTCTCCATCTCACTCCAAATCACTAAATCTATTGAATTCTTCATCCTCGATGTCACTTCTGAACAACTCCACGACCTCTGGAGGTAAACAGAGCGCCGCTTCCTCTTCTGTGTCGCTGTCGTCAGACTCAGCATCAGTTCCAGTTAGAATTATTCGGGTCTTTCTGAATCTCGACAGGATGATTTCAGTGTCACTGAAGTCCAGGCTTTGTCCATCATCCAGTGACTTCAGGAAAGTTTCATGGTGCATCCTCCTGGTGTCACACGTTTCTCTCTCACTCCAAACTTTCTTTCTGCTGCTCGATTTGTGTTTTCAGCTGCAAATTTCACGACTTGCAGTTTGTAATCTGCAAAATCTGATTTTGTTTTTTGGAGGCATTTGTGTTCAGTCTTGTCAGTCGTCTTTTTAAGTTTGTTTAAATATTAAGTGTTCAGTGGTGCAGAAGTAATGGTGCAATCGACTGACATGATACAGACAGAACAGAGGCTCTTTTTGCAGGAGACATGTGCAGTAGAGTGAAGTGACAGTGGTGCAGGAGGAACAGGAGCAGCAGATACTCACACACAAGACTAGAACCTCTCACCACTTCACTCTCAACATTTTAATATATAAGTCACAGGAAACACCCAAACCATGAAAAAAAGTGACACTTACAGTCCGAAAAATACCGTACTTAATCATTGTGTAAATGAAACAAAACACATCTCCAGGTCTGTTTTTGAAGAGATAACAACATGGCTCAACAAAGCTCACAAAATTCAACTGTGCATAAGATAGGACCATTAAAATGTTGGCACACAGAACTGCACACTAGAATAAGATGGGATATTTTGTTGTTTGTGGAGGAGATCATTTGTTTTGGATCCCGAATACACACTTCACCAATACTTTATTAGTCACGCATGGACCATCCATATCAAAACATATTTGGCTGACACAAAACACAAAGGACGCAAGAGCAAGGAAATGATGGTACTTCAAAAAAATTACAGACTTTGCAAATTTGCAAATTGTGTCTAGGGGTGTCAAATTATCGTGTTAATTGCGATTCATTAATTACAGTCATATTTAGCGCGTTATGTTTTTGAATCGCGTTAATCTTATTTTAAATTTCTAACTTTACTGTTTCTGTATGCGAGTTGCCTTATTATAAAATCTGTTTTTATGAGTTGTTGGCTCCCGCACTGTACAGTCCTGCTCCGCTCACTCCCGCAAAGAATTGTAATTTTCATTCCCGTTATCACCGCATCTGTGATAAACCTGCACATGTCTGATCTCTGAAAACATCACACGACACACGGAACAGACTCACCATCACCATCAACATCCCTCTGTCACAGAAAGAACACTCATATTCCACTGAGTGGTGTCCTTTAGTCACATAGGAGCTGAACCACATCAATGCACAAGAGTGTTTTTTTTTTTTTTCTTTTGCTTAGATTATGCAAATTAGCCATGCAGTTTTAAGTTTGGCTTCTGTGAGACTTGAGCAAATCTGCATAATGTCAAACAGGCTGATGTGACTCTAGAGTGGTTATGGTTTAAGCTATATGTTGTAAAGTTGAGTTTATTTATGCAGATTAGTAACAGTAATAATAATTATGATAATTCTAACATAAAAACGTTAATGATTAATCGAAAATCTATCATTAATTCTCCCGACGATTGATTAATAAAATTTCATGGAATGCCCATCCCTAATGGGGCGTTCACTTTCTTAAGTTCTGTCAAACACAGAGAAGCGGAAAGGAATTGTCTAAAATGTGTGCAAGATTAAACCACATCTGCATGTTTAGGCTGCTTAAAATGTTTTCATTAATGCCAAAATAAAATATCCAGTACAAATGATAGGCATGATAGGCAAACAATCATTTGTATATTTTATTTTACACTTATATTTAGTTTGTGGGACTGTAGTTTGTGCACACACACAGTTAAAGTTTGACAAAAGAACACAGCGGAATGTAAATGACTGCATCTGTTAAAGTTTGTTAAACAATAACTGACTTTATAAAGTCACTTTTTCTGTTCTATATCAGTCTGTTGATCGGCCACAATAATGTAATACTGAATTTAAATGAAAATACCTCAAGTTGAGTTTTTCTCAGCAATTTATAGATGAGATTAAAAAGAGATTATTTAGATTAATTACAGATCATAATTCATTAATCTCTCCATTTTTAATCACTTGACAGCATTAATTGTGTCCAATTCTTTTTTAGAGTTTTAAATCGCTGCTGAAAATGCACTTTTTTGAGTTTTTGAGTTGATTTTCTATAGATTTCTCTGTGTTCTTAGCCTTGTTTTATTGCGTGTGCTCGTGTTTTATTCTTAGATTGTTTTTTTATCTGTTTTCTTAAGCATTTTTTGGGGCATTACTGTCCTTGATCTTGACCATTCAAATTGTGATTTTGATTCCATTACAATAATTTTTTTCACCTCTATTTTGCATATAACTGATTTCTCCTCCACTTTTCTTCTTCTTCTTCTTCTCTTTTTTAGGCTGTGAGCCCATCCCTCTGCGTTACCTGGAGTGGGGCAACCCTGAGTCCATCATCCAGGTGGTCTTCAGCTGTCTGGGCATTTTAGTCACCTCTTTCGTCGCTCTGGTTTTTGTCGTTTACCGGGACACGCCGGTCGTCAAATCCTCCAGCCGTGAACTCTGCTACATCATTCTGGCCGGCATCTTTCTGGGTTACCTCTGCCCCTTCACGCTCATCGCACGCCCAACTATTGTCTCCTGCTATCTTCAGCGCATTTTAGTTGGACTGTCCGCTTCTATGTGCTACTCCGCTTTGGTGACGAAAACCAACCGGATTGCGAGGATTCTGGCCGGAAGCAAGAAGAAAATCTGCACCAGGAAACCGAGATTTATGAGCGCGTGGGCCCAAGTTGTGATCGCGTCAATCCTCATAAGCCTGCAGTTGAGCTTAGAGATCACGCTGATAGTTATGGAACCTCCAGAACCCGTCAAATCCTACCCAAGTATCCGAGAAGTTTTCCTAATTTGCAATACAAGTAACTTAGTTGTTGTAGCACCTCTCGGCTACAACGGTTTGCTGATTTTGAGCTGTACCTACTACGCTTTCAAAACTCGTAATGTACCTGCTAATTTCAACGAAGCAAAGTACATCGCGTTCACAATGTACACAACCTGCATCATCTGGCTCGCTTTTGTGCCTATCTATTTCGGCAGTAACTATAAGATCATAACCACGTCGTTTTCGGTCAGTTTAAGTGTTACCGTGGCGTTGGGTTGTATGTTTACGCCAAAAATGTACATTATAATCGCCAAACCGGAGAGGAATGTTCGGAGCGCGTTCACGACTTCGGATGCGGTCCGGATGCACGTTGGAGACGGGAAAATCGCCTGCAGGAGCAACAGTCTCCTCAGTATGTTCAAGAGGAAAAAGAACACCAGCAACGGAAGGTGAGTCATACTGTGAAATTAAAGGTGCATTGTGTAACTTTTCCGGTGGAGGGTCCGTCACCTGCTTGTTTCCATGGAGATGTCATTGCTCTGCCTGGAATGTTCCACAGTGTGACATTAAACAGCTCTACTTTACATTTATTCAATTACAGGTGGTGTTATGTGTCAGAAATACCTTGAAAAACAGACATTCTGATTGTGATTGGGGTCACCTCTCCACAGATCTGACCTGTAACTTGGTCTGGTTTGGTCTGCATGAGGATAGAAAGGTTTAATGCCATACTGAGAAACATTTAAGTCAAGTGTGTCCAAACTTTTTTCATCAAGGGCCACATATCTAAACAGAGACGAAGCAGAGGGCCGATCGAGGGCCGTAGACTGATGCTCAATACACTGAATTATTAAAATATGTGCATGTTTAACATGTTAGAATGAGTCATCAGTCTTTATTCATGCTAAAAATCCTTAAAACCTCACATTAAATATTACATATTAGCTTTATCAAGGTACATTTTCAAAAAAAAACTTGCAGTAAAAAGTAATTTTTTCATTGATTCAAGGTAATTTGGGCCAATTCATCTGGAAGTCTGAGGGCCAAGAAAAATTTGTCAGAGGGCCACATTTGGTTCATGGGCCATAGTTTGGACATGTCTGATTTAAGTTATGTTTTTAGACATTTAAAGGGCCAATAATGCTCTATGTTAAATGTTAAATGATCTATGTTAAAATGTTTTTCTTCATCACAAACAGACCTGGAGTTGTTTTCACACATTCACACAAACCCTGCAGATTTAGGCTGAGTTTTTCTCTCAGATAGAAACCTTTTTGTTCTACCCTGTGTACTACTGTGTTCTTAAACTCCATACGCCTTCCCTAGAACTATTCAGATTATTTCAGCCCTGGAATTTCTAGTGAACTAAAGAAAAAGGAGCTGTTCACTTGAAAACTTTCATAAATGACACCACAAGGAAGGACAGAGCATTTTGAGATCTTTAGAACTTTAGAGATGTACACAGACTAATGATAAAGTTACTCTAACATGTGTGAATGAAAAAAATAAACTACGAAGTGTGTTTTTGATGAGGTAACAGCATTGTAAGGAGTAAATTTTGCGTGATATAAGACCTTTAAACCATGATACATCCATAGTAAACTGAGCTGATCTTGTCCACTGCTGCGCTCCACTGAGTGTAATACCTCTCCCTGGGCTGTGGGGGGCGCTTGTTTCTTCCTCCTGTTCGTCCCTTTGTGTCTGTGCTGTAGTCACTGTTAGAAGTGGGTCACACAGCTCTGACCTCCTGTCTCGTGATTGAATTAAACCCTCTGTGCCCAGGGATCATGCATGAGAGACTAAAGCATGTTCAAAATGCATGTTAAAGGCGCACTGTGTAACTTTTTGGACCTGCTTGTCTCCATGGAGATGTTATCACTTTGCCTGTAATACTCAAATATAAGGTATTAACCATATATGTAGCTTTTTTCCCCATTACAGGTGTTTCTATTAATCTAAAATACTTTGAAAACATGAATCTTCTCTGTACATGAGCTCATTAACAATAATAACTGGCCCCAACCACTTGTCCCCATGGAGACATCATGTTTTAATGCCGTACTGTGGAGAATTCTGGGCAAAGTAATAATATTTTGATGGAGACAAACAGGTGTTGGACTCTATACCTGAAAAGTTATGCAGTGCACTTTTAAAGCACGATGTCGGCTGGTAACATTATATAATATCTTTGTTCACTATTAAACATATGAGATAAAATACTACAATTAACATAATAATATTTAAAAAGTAGAAAAATAAATAAATAGAAAATCTCTCAGTCTGCAAATTCTGTTAATGTGAATAGACGGTCATAAATTACTGTCTATAGTCACAACCACCTTTGGCATCTTCATCACAAACCACTTGGTAATAGACTTTTTCACAACAACCGGAAGTGCCCCATTGCAGGGTTTGAGGAAGTTATGGTTAATGGTTTTCTGTGATAAAATGTCTGTGTAAATGTGTGTCGGATTCTCCAGCAGTTTCATAAATCTGCCCCATCACCAAATATTCAACCAACAAGCTCCGCGAAGGATAAACATTCTTCCATGAACAATTTATCCACAAGAGATCCACTATCAAGAGAAGAAAGAAGAAAACTTAAAGGAAACAATGACCACACATTAGTGACACACTGAACAAAACCTTATGGTCATGAATAAAACAGAAGGAACTTGTTCACTCAGACTGATTCTACAATTAAAATGAAAAATCAATTTCATGTTTATCCTTTGTGGACCTTGTTGGTTGAAGATTTGGTGATGGGGCAGATTTATGAAGCTGTTGGAGAATACGCCACACATTTACACACACTTTTTGCCACAGAAAACCAATAATTGGAAGTTCGGCAAATCTACACTTCCGGTGTCCATTGTCCCAGCAGATTTATCCAAAACCAGGGATTTGTCCCAGTTTTATACAAGAAATGTCTCAAATGTTCCTATTTTTGACCAATTTGATCCCTGCCAATAGTAGAGACATACATTGTCATTTGTTGAGGTAAAATAAAGAAAAGCTGATTAAAAACGACCAAAACACAAAGAAAATATGACTCGACTGACTCACATGTTAGTCATGAATGGGTCGAGTGCAGAACTTAATTACTCATTCGTTCCAGAATTTTATTATTATCAACTACCACAAACTGGGACTGTTTCAGGTTTTATTTGAAAATCCAGTCACTCTAATCATAATCCAATTTTATTTTGTTTAATAGTGTAAATATTATAAATGTTACCAGCGTTGTTTTGCACGCACACACACACACACACAGCAAAAAGTGGAGTGTTAAAGTTGACTCTCACAGAATCAATTTGAATCAATTTTCTCAGGGTTTATATGAGTCCAATCTATTAATTTGTTAATTTAACATTTCTGTAAATGTTCATTAAGTAAAACTTCACCAAAGTTCCTGTTTAACCTGAAATCAAGAGTTATATTAATGTTTTGAGAGTAAACAGATAACACTTTGTAGAGTTATCCTGATTTAGCTAAATAACACACAGGTGTTTTATTTTTACACTTTATTTGAGTTAATTTAAGATGAAATTCTGAACAAAACTGGTTCAAACTGGTCTACTCTCGCGGGAGTTTGAAGTGGTGGTGGGAGGAGCCAAATGAACACAAAGGGAAGTTAAAGTGCCCATCTCATGCAAAATCAACTTTTCAGAGTTTTCTACCTTCTAAGAGTGATGTGTGGGCCTTGTGTTTGTTGCTGAAGTGTTTTTTAGATTGATTTGGCGTTGTTTTGTTTTGGTTTTTTTTTACAAATTGCAGTGTATTTCTGTCACCCTCCCACGAGACAACGAACTAAAGCTGCGACAACGATGACGCGGCAGCTACACCTATGACGCGTTTGACGTAGCAGAAAGCACTTCACACTCGCCCCCCTCCCCCGCTCCACCGCCTCCACCGCCTCCACCGCCTCCACCCCGCCTCAGCATAAGCTCATTGTTCTACACTGCAGTGTCCATGATATAATAAGTTGATCTACTAGTGTTTATTAAAACTTTACCAATCAGTAATGTTCAGCTGATGTGGACGCGGTGCATGAGCTTCGTGCTCCTCAAAGTCCTCGTCCGATTTTGGGTCCAACACATGCGGCTGAACGCGCTGTATCTCCATGATGAATAAAAGTTTATTTCTACCACTATCAGGGTGCACGTCTGTCTCCCCCTCCCTCCCTGAGATGGGCGGAGGAAGGGCGGCTCACTCGTCACCTATGTCATGTTTGGAGGGCGGAGCCTGTGCTTTCTCAGGATGGGCGGGGGGAGGAGCAATAGTCGGTCTTTCATAGTTCCTGGTCTGTGACTGTCTCCAAGAAATCAGTAAGATTTCAGAACTATTGTGTAATGGATGTTCCAAAACCCAAACTGTGCTTGTTTATGTGCAGAAGATACAATGTGAAAAGAGTTATTTTGTGTGAGATGGGCCCTTTAAACTAACACTAGGGGAAGTTGGATTAACTACACACACATCAACTCTGGCAAATAACCCAAACTCCAACCCACATTTAACTTTCAAATAGTCAAAATAACATGTTCTGTGTTAAAAACATCTCTGAAATATTTTACCCTGAAATATTTAACCCTCCAGTTTTTGCTGTGTGCTTTAATTTCTCTCCACATCCCGGGTCCCTCACAGTAACTTTTTATTTTGTATTTTTTCTGTATTCTGTTTGTAGTTCTAATGGAAAGTCTGTATCATGGTCTGAACCAGGTGCCCGGGCTCCACCCAAAGGCGAGCACATGTGGCATAGACTGTCCGTGCACGTGAAGAGACAGGACGCGAACCAGACCGCCGTCATCAAACCGCTCACCGCCAACGCCAGCGCCTTCCAGGGATCTGCGCTCGAATTCTCCGACTTAAGCACCAAAACTCTTTACAACGTCGAAGAAGAAGATGACGAAACCGAGCCGCTGAGATACAACCCCCCCGAAACCCCACCTCCGATGGTAGTACGTGAACAAAGCACCGTTACTACTACTGCAAATGTTACTACGAATATTACGGTGAATACTACTACAACTGTGAATAGAGTTAAAGAAGAGATACAGATTATTTCAATGCATCAAAACAACAATACTCAAAGCGCTATCCAAAACCACCAACCAGAAATGTCGACGTTTAAAAGCAGTAACAGCCCAAAAGTGAAAGATTTAATAACACTACCCGAAGCGAGCAGCAGTAGCAGTAGCGGAGGAGGTATGCCAGTGTACCGCCAAGCCAACTTCCTCCAACCCGACGCAATGTTGCCGGTACAATTCCACCCGTTTGAGCAACAGCACTCCCTGGAGGACGGAGAGGACGTGGACAATGAGTGTTTCGGTTTGCTCGAAGGGTTTCTGTATAACAACGCGCAGATTCATCACGAAGAAGGATACGCCGGAGTCAAGGTGCCCGCCGCAGAGGAGACGCTGGTGCCGCTGATGCCCCCTCCCTCGCCGTTTCGAGATTTCGCGGGGGCGTCGAACACGAATCCGTTCACGAATTCGCCGATGTCGGAGTCGCTTCTGGTGGGGCCTGAAGACGCGGTGTACGCTACGGTGATGTTTGAGGACTACAGGCACAGCTCATCAACGCTGTGAAGGACCACGACAGAACGGATTTATATTTGATAAGAACAGGATGTTAATATGTTGTTCTAATGTGATGTGTGGATTTAGACAGTAGAGGACAGTGTCCAGGTTAAGTTTAAGGCTCACTTTATTGTTCTCATAAGGAAATGTGTCCTCTGCATTTGACCCGTCCATCAGAGTCTCTGCGTTAAACCTCTCAGGAGCTGTGGGACCCATCTACACTTGTTTGTTCTAATAGGGGAATTTGTGTGAAACCTGCATTTGACCTTCAGTGACTCTGGGTTCAACCCAGTGTTGGGCATTTTACTTTTAAAAAGTAATTAGTTACCATTACAAATTACTTCCCCCATAAAGTAACAGAGTTAGTAACTCAGTTCCGCTGCTGTAAAAGTAATTAATTCCTCAGCAAAGTAATTATCCAGTTATTTTTCATGTTATATTCTATTGCCTTTAATGCAGTGGCTCCATCTCCATCTGGACTGAACCTCACGCTCACTGCACCGGGGCTCAGGGTGAACAGCAGGGAGAAGTGCTTCATTAGAGTAGAGTTACTTGAGACAGACAAGGACAGATTATTTTGGGTTTTTTTCCCCAGGGCACAGTTACACTTATACACATTCTTGCCTTTTATTTCAATGAGGATTAAATAGTGTAGGGATTTCCAGTTTGCCTTTAATGTCCCTGACTGCTCATCATTGCCATTGTCACTTTCTGTTGAGTTTATCTCATTAGCCTGAAGTGTGCGGTAAAGAAACTACAAGGCAGCGTGAGCAGAGACTCCGCCCACTCAACTTCTCATCCAGTCATGTTGTCCCTGCTCTGTCCCTCGCTCTCCTCGCTCCTGCTGATAATGTGAGTCTGTCCTCTGCATGAAGCCTGACACCGCCGCCTCATTCAACACAACTGTAACACGCCACTTTACTTTCCCTGTAACGATGACAGCTTTGTATCCACGGGGAGTGTAATTCATTAGATTACTCCATTACCCAAAATGTACCACTGTTAGTAGCACTGTTATACTTAAAATCCATCATTCCCAACACTGGTTAAAACTACATTTGACCCGTGATCCTTCAGAGTCTCTGGATTAAACTCATCTTCAGAAGTACCTTAGCTGGAAGATTTGCCTTTTTAGCAGGTTTAAGTTGACGGGAGAAATTGGAGAACCCAAGAAACCCATCAAACATCAGAAGAACATGCAAACTCCACACTACTGAGTGACAGTAGCTCAGCTGGTAGAGCATCAGGTGTGAATCCCACTCTTGACATAATGAATATCATTGGTTGAGTGATCTGATCCACTGACCCACAGTGTCAGAGGTGGTTCCAGCTCCCACACATGGACGCTGTTGGGCAAGACACACACCAGTGTGTACACTGGAGTGCGTGTGCGCATTGGTGTGTGTGTACACTGGTGTGTGTGTACACTGGTGTGTGTGTGTGTACACTGGTGTCTGTGTACACTGGTGTGTGTGTGTGTACACTGGTGTGTGTGTGTACACTGGTGTGTGTGTGTACACTGGTGTGTGTGTGTACACTGGTGTGTGTGTGTGTACACTGGTGTGTGTGTGTACACTGGTGTGTGTGTGTGTGTGTGTGTGTGTGTGTGTACACTGGTGTGTGTGTACACTGGTGTGTGTACACTGGTGTGTGTGTGTGTACACTGGTGTGTGTGTACACTGGTGTGTGTGTACACTGGTGTGTGTGTGTGTGTGTGTGTACACTGGTGTGTGTGTGTGTACACTGGTGTGTGTGTGTACACTGGTGTGTGTGTGTGTGTACACTGGTGTGTGTGTACACTGGTGTGTGTGTGTACACTGGTGTGTGTACACTGTGTACACTGGTGTGTGTGTGTGTGTACACTGGTGTGTGTGTGTACACTGGTGTGTGTGTGTACACTGGTGTGTGTGTGTGTGTGTACACTGGTGTGTGTGTGTACACTGGTGTGTGTGTGTACACTGGTGTGTGTGTGTACACTGGTGTGTGTGTGTACACTGGTGTGTGTGTGTGTACACTGGTGTGTGTGTGTACACTGGTGTGTGTGTGTACACTGGTGTGTGTGTGTACACTGGTGTGTGTGTGTGTGTGTACACTGGTGTGTGTGTGTGTACACTGGTGTGTGTGTGTGTGTGTGTGTACACTGGTGTGTGTGTGTACACTGGTGTGTGTGTGTACACTGGTGTGTGTGTACACTGGTGTGTGTGTGTACACACTGGTGTGTGTGTGTGTACACTGGTGTGTGTGTGTGTACACTGGTGTGTGTGTGTACACTGGTGTGTGTGTGTGTACACTGGTGTGTGTGTGTGTGTACACTGGTGTGTGTGTGTACACTGGTGTGTGTGTGTGTGTACACTGGTGTGTGTGTGTGTACACTGTGTGTGTGTGTGTGTGTGTGTGTGTGTGTGTGTGTGTGTGTGTGTACTGGTGTGTGTGTGTGTGTACACTGTGTGTGTGTACACTGGTGTGTGTGTACACTGGTGTGTATGTGTACACTGTGTGTGTGTGTGTGTGTGTGTACACTGGTGTGTGTGTGTACACTGGTGTGTGTGTGTACACTTGTGTGTGTGTGTGTGTGTGTGTGTACACTGGTGTGTGTGTGTACACTGGTGTGTGAGTGTGTGAATGTGCTAAGTGTCTTGAAGGTGGAAAAGATCTGTATAAAAATGTGACCATGAGCATTTCAAAGGTTTTTAATGGAGAGTTTCATGGAATATGTTCTTATTTGTGAGGTTGCAGGTTCCATTCCCAGAAGATGTGGAGTTTGCATGTTCTCCCTGTGTTTGACTGGGTTCCTCTGCCTGCTCCTGTTTCTTCTGTCAAACTAAAACTCATGGTTCCCCCACACATTTATCAAGTGTCACTCACTTTGCACTTTTTAGACTAGTTTTTGATACCATACTTTTATTTATTTATTTATTATGATGATTATTATTATTTTTTTATTTAGCAGTGGTCTTTCAAGACTTCACAAAATGACTGACCAGATTAACCAACGTTTATTCCTGCATCAGTTCCTTGTTCCTCTATTGTCTGTATTCACTGTGTTCTCTCTTACTGCCAGTGTGTGCTCTGAGCTGATACAAATGTGACGTATTTCTTAAACTTCATTGTGATAAGAGCTTTAGTCAAACAGTGTACGATAATGTGAATGTGTTAAGATATATTTATGAACAGTTGAGTCTAGATTTTAATAATGGTGACTTGTGTAAAGTGAAATAATCCAGCGCTACTGCTGTATAATCTCATGCCAGATTGGAGGATTTACACATCGCTTTAACTCATGTCTCTTATCAGTCCAATGAGGTTCAGTTGGTCTTCCAATAATTTATGTTATTAGGTTCTTTTTTCAGACTAAGAGTTTGTTTTCATCCTGACAGTTTGAACTGATCACTGTTGGTTTTCCTCAGAGTCACATCATGTCACTGTGACGTGTTGTTTAGCTCATTTAGACTTAGACAAACTTTACTGATCCACAAGGGAAATGATCTGGACACAGGAGCTCACACTTCACAATATAATCTAATAACAAAGAGTAAAAAATATAAATGATAATATTCAATTTTAAGTAAGTAGCAAAAAGGTAAATACAAGTCAAAATAAAACTGAAAAATCAATAACAAAATATAGAATCTCAAGTTTATGCAAGAGGTCATAGTGCAACAATGATATGATTTAAGCAGGTTTTGGTTCTGTCTTTCTCTCGGTGGAGGCAGGAAGACAGAACCACCTGCAGTCCCACTTCCTCAAGACAGAAACCCAAGTATGTGAGAGTAAAAAAGCCCCTCGTCTCGGTTTCTGAGGAAGTCCAAACTGTAAAGTAGAAAAACTAATTCTTGGTCTGAAAAAAGAACCTGATAACATAAGTGTTTCTACCGGTGTCTGTTAATTAAAGCTGCAGTATGTCACTTTTCAACCAGGTTTCACCACCTTGATCTATGAGTGTAGATGTTATTGCTTTGCCTGAAATGTTCCACAGTATGGCATTAAGCATATCTCTCTCACATAGGCTTGTAACGATAACAGATTGTGCTGGACGATTAATTGACCAAGAATTTATCGCGATAAACGATAATATTGACATTTTGAGACCCATTTCAGCTAATATAAAGACCATGGAATAAAAATGTAAATACGCCCTCTCAAAGATCAATAAATTTGACTTTCTAAAGAACATTTAACACAGGAACTTCAAGACAAGAAAAACAACAGGCCGAAATAAAATAGACTTATTAACATAAAAATAGCCTCATGTGTCTGGTTTACAGCGAGGACTTGTTCACAAAAATGCACTTGAATAAACCATTTTTGAACCAACCACAACCAAAACAATCAATAAAATGGATTATTCAATCTCTGTAACAAAATCGCCCTTAAAAGTTCTTTTAGTCATTGACTTACATTGGAATATTGTAGCTCTTCTCTCCGTGGCTGCTGCTGTGGCCTCGTCATTTTGGTCTTGAAGTGTTCGTATGAACCAGGATCCAGTTTCTCTATCAGGGAGCCTCTGTCCTGTCTGGTATCGTGTTGGTGTCTTGTGGGATTTTGGGATTTCGGGCTCTCCTGGGGGCTAGTTTTGTCACTCGGGTTTGGGTTTATGTCGGCTGCTGGGGTTTGAGCCATTTCTTCTCGTCGTTTGCGCTCTCTGCATTTGACACATGTGGCTGTTGAGACGTAATGCTGATTTGGCATCGTGATGTGTTTTGACACACGGAGATGAACTGTTTTGGTTCTAACAGCGGCGCTTGTGTTGAGGCTTCATGTTTAGCACACAGACAGCAGCGCTTTCTGCACTCAGGCTGCGCGCGCATCCGCTGTGCTGATGAACAAATAATCCGTCTAGTCTACGCTGGTACATTCATTCAAGTGTCATTACGATAATTAAACGAGAGGAGTCAGAGAGTGATAGAAGCCTTATCAGTCTCTTTGGTAGAGAGTGAGAGAGAGAGACAAGGAAAACAAACAAACATGCATGTAGCTTATCCCTCCGAAAGAAGACTGACACTTTGAACTGGCGATTTTTAGATTTCATGGCAATAAATCCTCCAATCTGCCATAAGAGCTAAAAGGAATACAAAATACAGAGTGAAAATACACATACACAAAACTCAATGCAAGTTTGATTATTATTTGCATTCATAACTAGAGACACAAAGTTATTCAAAAGAAATATTTAAATTGATAACAGACCTTTGTGCCTCTTTAGAGGGGAAGCTAAACAAAGACATAGAAGATGCCAAAAAATATACGTGTACACATTTGCTCCATATAACATTTTTCCATTCTCATTATCAAAGTAAATAAACGAAAATAAACCCTTCAAAATAAAAGCACCAAAC